ATCTGTCTGCTCAAAGGGACAGGCAGTTACACAATGACAGGCAGCATCAGTAAACAACCTTGAGCGCTCACCAGTGACCTGGTAGTTCATTGAGAACTAAAAGACGTCAGCACCAAGAGCTGACAGTAGCTGTAGTTCTTCCATTCACAGAACTCTGTGAATGAATGACACAGCCAGGTGGTGGAGCCCTGCACAACCATATATATTATAAAATATATATATAGATTTTAAATTGTGACAGCGTGTGCGGGAAGAAGATCCCTGGCCTGTTGGTGCAACCAGTTTAGTAACATGTTGCATATAGGTGTAACATGTACAGATGACCAACTAACCCTTCAACAAAATTATTCTGTTAAATATCTTTCACAAAGTGTTTACATTTTCCAAACTTTAGAACGTTTAGCAAATCAAGAATGAAGAACAAGGTAGCTTCTTAAAAGATCAGGCTATACGCATCAGTTATTGCTTCTGCTTTAGGATCACCAGTGGTCTCTGAAGTGAACTCTATTGGGGCTTTGAAAACTCAACAAGGTACTCAGACAATGTCATGAACTGTGAAGTCAGTGTCTGAGATAGATGTATCTACCAAGTATGTCACAACCTTCTGACCCCATTATTTTGTGCCTTCAGTAACTTTTGTATAGGTGCCACAAAGAGTTGGTTTTCCAAATGGTTTCTGAACCAACTGAAGCTTCTTTAAACCATTCCTCACATTTAGTGTATGGTTCCTCAAGCCTCTGATATTAAGGGTTTAGCATCCACACTTTGTTTTCTCCATTTGCCTTATCTAAATAATAGTATGCATTTTTACACCCCAACTTCCTTAAAATGCTTCCAATTTAAGGACTAGTGGAGTAATAATGTGCATTTAGCCATTTTGTCCCCTTCCCTGGCTAAGGTGCATACTTCCACCTCAAGGCCTCATGCACACTGGACATTTGTACAGCTGCTTCTACTGGTTGTACTGGTTCACTTTAACAGGTAACAGCACACATTAAAGGGGCAGACCAACCAATATCATTGCAGTCTGTTTTTGGTAGATGCTAGGAAGTTCAAGTACACATTTTGCTCATATCTCCTTCATAGAACAAGAGAATTGGGAAGGCCATGTAGTACGAGTGATACTCCCAAACCACTACGAACAAAAGAGGAAACTACAGCCGAGCTTTCATACCTAAGAGTTGTAAAAAGCTAGGAGACAACTCAGCCACTAGACCCTTGTAACTGAAACCAATTTACAGGTCCAACACCACTTTAAACAGACCCTGTTGATAAAATATGAAAAACAAAGTACATCCTACCTAGAAGAGTTGACACTTGCCTCTCCCACTGCTGATCTGTATTGTATTGAAAAGGTACAACTGCCTAAAGAATCATCTGCATCTGGCATAATTCTGGTCCCCAGTTAGCTCTGGTACATATTGATGTAGTAGATCGAACCACTGAGTGCAGTGGGGGACACCCAAGCATTCCATACAGGATTGATGTATTTCTGCATTACAGTTCAGGGGAAACGGGAAATGTATCTATGAACGCTTTACTTTGCAGGTTGGGTACTGTTTTTCTCTTTATTCCTAGCAACACTAGAGTGGCTGTACAGAAGAATTTTGACTGGCATGGTAAACTGCCACCAAAGCCCTATGTACTAATATGTCATAAAAAAAAAAAACAAAAAAAAAAAAAAAAAAAAAAAAAAAAAAAAAAAAAAAAAAAGGTACAAAGTCAGTCTGTCAGCATTATCAGCAAGGGGGCTCAAACAGAAAACACACTGCTTCACATTGCTTTCATCAAGTGCAAATTCCTATGAACACAGCAATGCAAAAAGACTTGACAGGGCATAGGATTTGTGCGTGTGAGTTACACATGGGTCTACAGAAGGTTACATATTCAAATCAAATATATGAGTGTATAATCTCAAGGAGGAGGAGTAATTAAAAGTGTAAAAATCTGGCTGTACTAAATTAAAATAGACAAAGCTTTAAAAAAATAAACTTCCCATGTCAAGTGTAAATCAGTGTGAAAAACTTAGTAGTTTAAATAATTTCTTCCAGGCTCCCTTCTGCTGTAGCCATCAAAGGGGGTGGTAATCATAACCCTACCCCTTTATTGCTCTATTCATCCCAATTAGGCAGTTAAAGATGGGTGGCATTACTGCATTCCACTATACACTCACCGGCCACTTTATTAGGTACACATGTTCCATTGCTTGGTAACACAAATTGCTAATCAGCCAATAACATGGCAGCAGCTTAATGCATTTAGGCATCTAGATGTGGTTAAGACTTGCTGACGTTCAAACCGAGCATCAGAATGGGGAAGAAAGGATTTAAGTTACTTTGAACGTGGCAAGGTAGCCTGTGCCAGATGGGCTGGTCTGAGTATTTCAAAAACGCACAACCATCTCTAGGGTTTACATAGAATAGTCCGAAAAAGAGAAAATATCCAGCGAGCGGCAGTTGTGTGGACGAAAATGCCTTGTTGAGGTCAGAGGAGAATGAGCAGACTGATTTGAGATGATAGAAAGGCAACAGTAACTCATGTCAATATGGACCAAGATCTCTGAGAAATGTTTCCAACACCTTGTTGAATCTATGCCAAGAAGAATTAAGGCAATTCTGAAGGCAAAAGGTGGCCCAACCCGGTACTAGCAAGGTATACCTAAAAGTGGCCAGTGAGTGTACATTGTGAATACACCTTTGTGGTAGCAATGATCTCTTGTGATTTAGGTAGACAATCCCCTCTGCTGAAAACTGGAGGTCACAGCCTTACTCCTTTATTGCTTTATTCATATCAGTTAAATGTTTAGGGCCCATTTAGATCTATGCCTGTGCATAGAGGCAATGTCTAACTTCTAACTAAAAGGCAAAAAACACCCCAAAAAAACCAAAACAAACCTCCAAAACCTCAGGGGGGGAACAGGCTTGATTTTTATTATGGGGAAGTTGGGCACATGTGCTTCAGTGAGTTGCAGCACTGCTATGCAGCACACTAATGCTGGCCATACACTTAAGTGTTTTTATTCGGCCAGCGGGCTAAAGAAAAAAAAACAAAAAAAGGTTCCTCTATTCACACAAACAGGGTGGATGGAAGAATCCTCTCCCCCCTCCATAGGGAAATGGAATTCTGACAGCAGTACCCGCCACCTTCAGAGTACACTGATCAGTGGTTGCAGATATTGACAGAAAATTTTCCAACACATCTCAATTAAACAATTTCTGTCGAGCGGTGGAGCACCACATACGCATCAAAATTCGAATGGTAGCCACTGGACTGTCCAAATGTCGATCAGTGTGTGGTCAACTTAACTATATAGCCTATGTGTCTAAAAGTATGAGGATACCCCTCCAAGTTGAGTTTAGGCGTTTCCAGTGATTATGGCTCATGCTACACCAAACAGACATTTTAAACAATTGTGCACTTCCAATCTTTTGGCAACAGGTTGGGATAGGCCCCTTTCTGTTCCAGCAGGACTTAGCCCTTGTGTGCAAAGTCAGCTCAAAGAGATGGTATGAAGAGTCTGGTGTAGAGGAACTCAACTGAACACCATTTGGATGGATTGGAAAGCCCACTGCATGCCACGTCTTCTTGTACAACATCAGCAAATTGACCTCATAAATGCTCTCTTGGTTGAATGGGCATTCATTTTTACAGACACACTCCTTAATATTGTGGTAAGGCTTCCCAGAAGAGTGGAGGCTGTTATAAGCACAAAGCGAGGCAAACTCATGCCCATGGATTTGGAATGGAATGTGCAACAATCTCATACAGGCATGATCAGGTGTGTATACTTTTGGCCAGTGTACATCAGATTTGGTGAGGGGGGTGTCACAAAAGCAGCAATCAATCACAGATTACTTAAATGTCCCTGGAAAAGATTCTATCAGGAGTTATTAAAAAATTACACATAAAATGCTTTAACCAGTGCTGAAAACATTTAACTTACAACCAATGCTGAAACTTTAATCTTTTAGTGGAATTATCTTTCCAATTTTACCATAAATTGACTTGTGATGTGTTGCCTGTCAGGTTTTCTAAGGTGACAAACTCATTGAACCCTATACTTCATTCACATTAGCCTTGCTGTACATAAACACCTGAAGAAAATTTGAAAATAGAGGCAAAAATACCTATTACTATAAAAAGCCATTCTATTGAGGGGAAAAAAAAAAAAAAAAAAAAAAAAAAAAAAAATTAAACTAAAATTAGAAAAAAAAAATGCATTCATGCAGTACTGGCAGCGTCCATGTATGAAAGATCGTAACAAAGGAATATATTAGCTTTACTCTGTCCTCAGCACAACTAAGAGCAAACAAACAGACAGGAAGCTGCCTTGGTTACAACTATATAAACCATTGACACTAATGCCACGAGATTTCCAGAAACGTTTACTTCTGACTGCTGTAATTGGAAAACGAAAAAAAAAAACCCAAAAAAGCGTGTTTTAGTTTTCACACAATACGTACATGTGTATCGATTTACAGAGACAAGAACTGAAAAGGATTAGTGAAGGCTCATGCCATATCTAATAAAGTAACTTACAACTAAAGGAAGCGGTCCCTTTTCCCCTGCCGCATATTATTGTTATATAGGTCTTAATTTAATAAAACTTAAAAACACAAAACCGAAGCACAACTGAAAATTAAATACTACAACTACAAGATAAAAAGACACTGCACAAGGAGTGAGTGGGCATCCCAGTTGCCCTAAAACTTAAGAAAACCTATCCAGATCACAAAGGGACAGCACATCTAAAAGACATGCATGGCCCTTGCTGAACAGTAAATTGTGTTGGTGGTTATATCCATCTGGCCAGGGGAAAGTAGCTTCTAAATTTTAACAGCTATACAAATATTTAACCTATTAACAACCCCAGAGGTTCTACATCAGTCCCCGAAGCAAGGCATCAATGAGACACGATGGAAGACCTCTATTAGTGGAAATGTATCTTTTGTGGGAAACTGAGCACAAGCTGTGCATGGGTTGGCAACTTTGTGCCTTTTCTAGAAGTTATCGTAATCTTTTTTGTCCTTCTTCCCTTCGGCTTCGAAACTGTCCACACCATCACTATCTCGCCTTCGCTTGCGGTTATTGTGAATGTTAAAGCGCTGGTTCATCTGGGACAGCGGATCCATACCAAGGACTTTGTGGATCTGTCTAAACGCAAGGAGCCTCAGTGCAAACTGCCAAGGAAAAGAAAAGAAAAACATTAAAAGGGCAAAGTATTAATGAGAGTAGGTAAAATTAACCAATCACAAATAGGTTTGCTGACAAGCTATGGCAGGTTTGGTTCAAGAACTCTATCAGCATTAAAAAAAAATTAGGTATTTTGACATGCATTTATGGACAAATATTTACTGGCTTTTTCCAAAGCAAATCAGTTTATTCCTTGATTTTCAGCTTCCCTGATAGAATCATGATTTTTGGGAGTTACTAGGGCAGAGCTCAGTTGTTACTGCCACTGTTAAGAGGGCACTTTTGGGAGGAGACATGTAAGCTGGAACAACTAGTGCCCCTTTTCCCCAAGAACCCCCCTTCCCAGCCCCTTTTCATTTTCTGATAGGATGCAAGTAATTCCTGAGACACATAATTTTTGGCTGCTAGAATGCAGGTGGTTTCTCCTAGCATCACTTGTTTTCAGGGGGTGTGTTTGTGGGGGTTTGGGGGTGTTGGTGTGGGTGTGGGGGTGTGTTGGTGTGGGTGTGTTGGTGTGGGTGTGTGTGTGGGTGTGTTGGTGTGGTGGTGTGGGTGTGTGGGTGTGTTGGTGTGGGTGTGTTGGTGTGGGTGTGTTGGTGTGGGTGTGTTGGTGTGGGTGTGTTGGTGTGGGGGTGTGTTGGTGTGGGTGTGGGTGTGTGGTGTGGGTGTGTTGGTGTGGGTGTGTTGGTGTGGGTGTGTGGGTGTGGGTGTGGGTGTGTTGGTGTGGGTGTGTGGTGTGGGTGTGTGGGTGTGGGTGTGGGTGTGTGGTGTGTTGGTGTGGGTGGGTGTGGGGGTGTTGGTGTGGGTGTGTTGGTGTGGGTGTGGGTGTGTTGGTGTGGGGTGTGGTGTTGGTGTGGGTGTGTTGGTTGGGTGTGTTGGTGTTGTGTGGGTGTGTTGGTGTGGTGTGGTGGGTGTGTTGGTGTTGGTGTGGGGTGTGTTGGTGTGGGTGTGTTGGTGTTGGTGTGGGTGTGTTGGTGTTGGTGTGGGTGTGTTGGTGTGGTGTGGGTGTGTTGGTGTTGGTGTTGGTGTGGTGTGTGTTGGTGTTGGTGTGGGTGTGTGGTGGTGTGTGTGTGTGGTGTTGGTGTGGGTGTGTTGGTGTTGGTGTGGGTGTGTTGGTGTTGGTGTGGGTGTGTTGGTGTTGGTGTGGGTGGTTGGTGTGTGGGTGTTGGTGTTGGGTGGGGTGTTGGTGTGGGTGTGTTGGTGTTGGTGTGGGTGTTGGTGTGTGGGTGTGTTGGTGTTGGTGTGGGTGTGTTGGGTTGGTGTGGGTGTGTTGGTGTTGGTGTGGGTGTGTTGGTGTTGGTGTGGGTGTGTTGGTGTTGGTGTTGGTGTGGGTGTGTGGTGTTGGTGTGGGTGTGTTGGTGTTGGTGTGGGTGTGTTGGTGTTGGTGGTGGGGTGTGTTGGTGTTGGTGTGGGTGTGTTGGTGTTGGTGTGGTATGCCATGGCTGCTAAGATGTGGGCAGTTCCGGATGCCAGCATCCTTGAGTGTTAGGTCACAGACAGTCTGGACATTGCTTTATTTATTTATAATTTTGGATTTTAATGACACTGGGTATTAATTTCACTATATTTGTGAAAGGGACTTTATTTACTTCATTTTTTAATTTCATTTATTTAATTCAATGTTATTTATTTACTTTTGTATTTGTAATTTTTGGAGATTTATTTCAAAGGATTTGTTTGCCACTAATTATAGGGTGGAGATTTTATAAGGCGGGGACTCATTCATATTGCTATATGATATATCAAGGTATGCTTAATTATTAGGCAGTTTGTTTTCCTCAGGCAAAAAATGGGCCAAAATAGATTTAACTGACTCCAAAAGACTTTTTATAATTTTTGACTTTTCAGAGGGATGCAGCACTCTCGAAATTGCTAAGATATTGAAGCGTGATCACAGAGCCATCAAACGTTGCATATAGTCAACAGGGTCACAAGAAACGTGTTGAGAAAAACAAATGCAATTTAACTGCCAAAGGTTTGAGAAGAATCAAACCTGAAGCTACCAAGAACCCATTATCCTCCAGCACTGCTGTCATATTCCAGAACTGCAACCTACTTGGAGTGCCCAGAAGTACAAAGTGTTCAGTGTTCTGAGATATGGCCAAGGTAAGGAAGGCTAAAACCCAACCACCACTGACCAAGACAAAAAAGTTGAAACATCAAGACTGGGCCAAGAAATATCTGAAGACAGATTTTTCAAAGGTTTTATGGACTGATGGGAGTGACTATTAACAGACCAGATGGATGTCGCCGATGGCTTGATCAACAACAGGCACAGAACTCCACTTCAAATCAAGACACCAAGAAGGTGGAGGTGGGGTACTGGTATGGGCTGGTATTATTAAAGGTGAGCTAGTAGGACCTTTTCGTGTTGAAGATCCGATTCAAAATAAACTCCCAAACCTACTGCCAGTTTTTAGAAGACACTTTCTTCAAGCAGTGGTACAGGAAAAAGTCTGCATCTTTCAAGACCATATTTATGCAGGACAATGCTCCATCGCATGCATCTAAGTACTCTACTAAGTGGCTATCCAGTAAAGGCCTTAAAGATGAAGGAATAATAATGACATGGCCCCTTCCTCATCTGGCCTAAACCCTATTGAGAACTTGTGGGCCCTTCTTAAATGGAAGATTTATGGTGATAGAAAACAGTACAGCTCGCTAAACAGTGTCTGAGAGTCTGTGGTTGCTGCTGCACAAAAAGCTGTTCAGCAAGAGATCAAGAAACTGCCAGACTCCATGAATTGAAGGCTATTGAAGGGTGACATGGTTTTTTTTTAAATGGCAGAAATGTTTATTTGTACATTTTGAGTTGTTTATTTTCATCTGTTAAAGTGTGAATAATAAAATTTTCAATTTTCATTTAGTTGCATTATAATTCTGCACACTAATACTTGCACAATAATTGTGCACACAGATATTATTCTCCTAAGAAAGCCAAAACCTCACCTTTCACGAACTTAAATATTCAGGTTTGTTAACATTTTGGATTGACAGAGACAGTTCCTTATAGTGTGCGTGTGTTAGTGAGCGTGCGAGTTTTTACACACACACATCACTGCAAGTACTTTAGTGTGGGACTATACTTAAGATGCCATCTCCTGAAAAAATGTCTGAGGTATAGGTGGAGTGGATATGTTAGCGCAGATCCGGGGACCTTGAGTCCAGGACTACCTTTCATGTATGTGTGATCAAATTACCATGCTGTGAGAGGCTCCCTTTATGATTAATTCTGTTACCTGTGCACTGGAAGTTATATCCTCTCGCTGCTGTTCAGTCATTGTAGCCAGAGTATCATAAGGATCCTTTTCACAAGGGTCAAGTAAGCCTGGACCACCTGTCAGAAAGAACGGAACATGTTGGCATGTGTGACACTGTACTTTTAGTTCTTGGCTCATTCTTCAGACTATCACACATAGTTTTATGCAGTTACCATAAAGCGGCGCAAATGACATTTTAACGTTTATAATGCTCCCACTGACAGCTGGGATACAGCAGATGGATCTGCACAAAGTGTTTTTATAGCATACACTGACATATACACTGCTCAAAAAAATTTAAAAGAACACTTTTTAATAAGAGTATAGCATCAAGTCAATTAACCTCTTGCCCTCCAAATGATTTACCCCCCTTCCTGACTAGGCAATTTTTTGTGATACGGCACTGCATTACTTTAACTAACAAATTGCGCGGTCATGCAATGCTTCACCCAAATGAAATTTATGTCCTTTGCTTGGGTACAGCACTGCGTGACCACTCAATTACCAGTGGGGGGGGAGGTGAATCTTCCTGAGGGCAAGTGGTTAAGGAAAAAAGAGATTATTTATAAAAACAACACACACACACACACACACAAAAACACACACACGTCCTTATCACTATTTCTCCTGCAATCCAAATCCTATTTTACTATTAAAAAAAAAAAATAGAAATCACTAAGGTCTTTTGACTGAAATATTTTAAAGCCTAACTTGTCATCTAAATATATAAAGGGTGCGGCGCTCCAGCAATAATCAATGTATCAAAAAGGTATAGATGAGAATATAAAATACATAAAGTGACTTGTGACAAGGTGCCAACATATAAAGTGACTTTAGTGATATCATGTATTCCGTCACTGCCAAAGTGACTCGCGGTGAACAATAATAATGGAATGAATAGTCCAAACGTGAATATGAGAGATCAGGATATCTCCAGCAATAGGTGCTCCGTTCAAACCAAATATTGAGGTGACCGGTATATATGATAAGGCTGTGCACTCACCAGATGCACAGTTAATCTGCGCATGTAGAGACAATGCTCATGTAGGGCACGCTCCAGGCACCCGTTATCAATCTGGTCTGGTCAGGTACTCCCCTCACTGCTCTCCTCATCTGGTAAAGTGGCCTCACTTCCTCCTCAATAAGGTTCTGTGGGTTGTTGACTCACAAAGATCCCAGAAAAAGGAGGCGGCCAATAGTGTAATACCGTTTTAAGCATATGCACTTTAATTCCGTTCAAAGGCAGTAGTACAGGGGAAAAAAAACGTTGCACTGACCGTATGATGACAAAAATGGCTACCGGGACCCACGTGGTGCCGGTGGCGTATTGTCACAACGCTGTTGCTCCTCCTTGACGCGTTTTGTGCTAACCGCACATAATCATAGGGGGTGTGCATCAGCGTGTGACTATTAGCAGCGTCTATTAATACCAAAAAATTTGTGAGCTGGATATGTCCTCATATACAGCTCCATTTTCCTGAAGTCCAGCGCGATAGCGCATGTGGAAGCGCCATATTGCGGAATGAAATTTCTATGCATGTGCGAGCGCCATTTTGTTGAAGTCAAACCTGATCGCACATGCGCGAGCGCTATATTATAGACCAGAAATTTTAGTCGGTCACAAAATCTCCAGGGAAAACAGAATAGATTGCTAATCACATTAAACCTGTAAATCAAACAATATATTACAGGGAATGAAAATAACCGATATCTTAATGAAACTTATCCAAGTAAAAGTTAAACAGTAATATGGGGCCCATCACGTCCCGCCCACAGCGCATGCGCGCGCCATCATAGTTTAATCTACATGTGCAGATTAACTGTGCATCTGGTGAGTGCACAGCCTTATCATATATACCGGTCACCTCAATATTTGGTTTGAACGGAGCACCTATTTCTGGAGATATCCTGATCTCTCATATTAACATTTGGACTATTCATTCCATTATTATTGTTCACCGCGAGTCACTTTGGCAGTGACGGAATACATGATATATCACTTTATATGTTGGCACCTTGTCACAAGTCACTTTATGTATTTTATATTATTCTCATCTATACCTTTTGATACATTGATTATTTCTGGAGCGCCACACCCTTTATATATTTATGTTCTGAAAGGTTTTTTGGTATCCTTTGGTGCATTGGCTGCTCTTCTGACTTCTAGCGCTCGCTTTTACCTTGTTTTTTTTATTCTAACTTGTCATCTGCTTCCCCCTGGAAGCCTTCTAGGTATACACCAAGCTTTTGTAGGCACTTCAGGCTGGTCATGCTACAAGCAGGATTCCTCATCACCACTTCTCTTTTACTGTGCTCCTTCTACGTCAGCACTGCTGTCTGTGTTAATACGACTGACCGGCACTGTGGCGATGCCTCCTCCAGAGGCAGGTTTATTACGCCATGCACTTATAAGATGCCCTAAGTCTTTTGAGTTGGCTGATGCTGGATGCCATTCAACGAACTACTTAGATCATCTAGTGGTGCATGAGTGGGAAAGTACCAAAGAGGAAGTAAGTATTGCACCTAAAACATTTATTTTATATAGGGGACATGGACATGTATCTCTGGAGTGCAGTTTACAAAAGGCACCAATCACTAATAAATAAATATATTGGGCCCATTCACAAAGAAAAAAGCTCCCCTACTTCCGTTGTGAACCAGAGGAATGCCTGTAAATACAGCATCTAAGATGGGAGGTTTTAAAATGCCACCACCAGCCATCAAGATTGTAGGGTCGTTTTTTTTCAAAGTGTGAAAGGAAAGTAAGGGGATTGTAATCAAACCCAGTTTGTCATTTTTCCCATTATATAACCAAAAATAAAAACTCCAAGGGTCTTTACTACCACCAAAAGAAAGCTTCTATATAAAGTTAATTTGGGTACAATGTTACATGACCGAGTAAACTAGTCAAACTATCACAGCACTGAAGATTGAAAAATGACCTGAGGGGGTATATACAAGACTGGTATTCAAGTAGTTAATACTGTCAACTTTTTCACATTATTCAAATAGGGCAGTTAAACTCTGAACTTACCCTTCAGAATTATACCAGATGATATGCATTCGAAAACTCTCCTTAAGGCATCTCCTGGACTTTGGGGACTAGAGGCACTGCTGATTGCCTTCTCCACCAACAGCTCCATTGCCTATAGAATGCAGAGTTTAGACATTTTTAAAATATATGCAGTGTATGTATGTAGAAAATCCCATAGCCAACAAAAAGATTGATAAATGTGAGGCCCATGTCTCTAATTTTAGAAAGGGTTAGGACCTGTCTCCAAAAATGTTAACGAAAGTTAGGAATTAAAAAGAAAAATTTGATTATTGCATGTAGGACCAGAATAGGAAAGACAGTAGATACATTAGAAAATTATAAAGTTTACTTTAAAACAAAATACAGTAAACAGCTTACATTTCAAACAGGATTCAGAGTACATACCCAGCTTGGAAAGTCAGACCACGTTGGCACACGCTGGCACAGGTCACGCAGGATACGGATGATAATGACACAGGACTGCAAACCATTGGCTCTAGCCTTGCATACAAGAACAGCAACAAGTTACCATCATCATCAAGCCAGAAGGAGAAAGACTAAAATGCCACTTTTGGAAGAACAGCACTGTGCCCGGCAATTTCTGTGGCATTTTAGACATTTAAGAGAAAGAGAAAAAAAAAAACCAAAAAAACAAAAAACTACACTTTGTAATTTTCTGTTAACTTTGATTTGCAAGCCTTGTAGACAAAAAGGAATTGAATCACATTTACATTAGAAAACAACAAAGTTCTAGCTAGAAAAAATGAACCAAAAATAAAAACATGAAAAAAACATAAGTAGGGACTGGAAGGTGGCCAGAATCTGTTTGGCGTTGTACTGTGGCTTTGCAGGAGAGTAAAGTCACGATGCCAAACGGATTCTTGGTACCTTTCACTTCCTACGCTAAAAGATTTTTTTAAAAAAGAGAAGGAAAAATAAAAATTTAAAGCTAAACATGAAGCAGTTTACACATTTCATCTGTTAAGCAAAGATAGTCTGCAGCCTTATGGAATAATACAGATTCACAACACAGTCTATGATGGGAACACTGATAAAAATGAGTCAGTCTTTAATTAATGACTACTCAATGACCAGAAAGAAAAAAAAAAATTAAATGGAGCAAAAAACAAAATAAAACAAACAAAATTTGCAATAAAACGGCAGGATGTAAGTCATATACATTTAGAATGTTCCTATTCCATGCTTCTGGTCATTTAATTTTTTTTTTTTTTTTGTCAAAAAGGAACATTGTTACAAAGCAAGCGTGTAACTAAATAACAAATTAAACAGTGATAGTGCTAATCTCTCATAAGGCTACAAGAAGAAAGTAAAATGATGTGCGAACCTGAAACCACTTAGCGTGGCGGAGAGCAGCCAGAGCGTCAAGGCATTTTTGCCTGTCCAAGACGTCCGGTGGGTCTTTCACCATACCCGAGGTTACATCTAAAATGGATTGAATTGGCAAAAGTGCAGTGAGGGACGGGTGTTTGACCAGGTGAGCAAGACAAATCCTTCTATACAGCTACAGTGTCACACAAGCCATTCCCATGACAAGTACCAATGTTGTTTGACAAGGTAACGAGCCCCATACATGATGCTTGATTGACAGCAAATAACATTTAAACATGTCACCAGACCGGATTTCCTGTTGCCGCTGAAGTGTCTTTTACTGCAACAGCATATTTGTAAATGTGATATCGTTAAGGAGGAGGGTAGGGGAGGTAGACTTTATCTGGTTGTTCCAAACACAAATGTTTAAGGACGATTTGCCTCCAGTTTTCTCCATTATGGAAACTAAAGCAGATTAATTTTTGGAAAAGTGTGACAGGTCAGGCTGTCCAGCTGAACTCCACTGACATAAAGATCACCCACAAAATAACCTCCGTACACCTATTGTAAAGTGGAAAAAGCGCAACGGTGTGGGAGGCAGGGTAACCCTTTCAAGGCATCCTTAAAAACGTAACTGTGGGGGGACTCGAGAGGGGGGGGGGGGAATTCCAGTGCCCACCTTTCTTAACCTCCTCTTTGGTGAAATACATGTATTTTTTTTTTTTTTTTTTTTTTAATTCAAGCCTACACAGGAGCAGGTTTTGTCTAAATTGGTATAATCCTACATGCAGCGGCCTTGGCTAGTTGAACAAGTCTCCCACTACATTGTGTGATTAAGGAAGGATGGTTGGCCACAATGCACTAGCAAACTAGATCACAAGACAGAAGGGATGCAGAAATCCACTGCAGCAAACTTACACTAATTGAAGTACAAAAAGGCATTCCAGCAAGTCATGCACCAGCAGTCCTGGCTGCTAGATATGACTATTAGCACAGGTGACTATTGTATTTGGCCAGTTAACCTATGGTGAAGTCTCAATTCCTCCCACTGTACAAGGTACTGGCCAAATATCTGCATGTAGACATCAGTAGATGTAAGGTCAGATTGGTGCTAATCAAGACTCAGCCAGCAGAAAATTCTTTCACTTAACTGATTAGAGGATCGCTAGTAGGAGAGATGGAAATATGGCTTAAAAGGTCATTTCACCCAAAATGGACACATCAGTTTCACAGACGCTCAAGGATTGCAGCACCCACTGCATTATTTTTTTCTGGAAGCATGAGCACAGAGAGAATCTTGCTGTAATTCTCTCCTCGTACTGTCTAAAGTGTAAAATGTGAAAATCCATCAGGAAAGCTAGCCCTGCAGACTGAAATACCTGAGAACTGGGTGCAAAAGACAAGCAGCCTGCAGATGAAATCAATTCCTCGGCATCTACCTAAAACTGGAATTCACGTTTGGGTAGACTAACCCTTTAAGCTGCTCTCATAATTGCCCTGTACATAGGCAGGGAACATTAGCTAATGTAACCAAACCCTTCCATGCTACATGAAGAACAAAATGCGCCACAATGCACACACTATATTGGGGTGTGGATTTTTGCATCCAATTTGAATGGTTTTGGATCAACCCCTTAAGAGTCGAGTTCAAGAACACTTTAGCAGTGGAACCATACACTGAGAATCAAGGAAATCCAGCTGATAATATAAGTTGGCAAACCACTTAAATATTCTAATGCCCACTAGAAAAGGGAAAACTAATAACATGAGATTCCTGTTACTAAAGTCAAATCGATTTAAGGGTTTGTTTCCCCTAGTTGCATTTTTCAGCACAGGCAAAATACATGGACATGAAAAAAAAAAAACAACCTGTAGCTTTCACATATGCTCCTTTTCCATCAATGCAATAAAAGAATAAAGGTGTGTGCGAAGGGGGGGGGGGGGGGGGGGGGGGGGGGAGGTTTAGGGTTGCCCTCCATGTTATTTTGCAAAACTGCAAGTCTCTGGGCTGAACAAGTCGTGAAAAGATAATAATCTGGTAATTAATTCGCTCTTTGGCTTTGATCAAACTCCAGACTTCAAAAATAATGTTTCACTATTAAAACATGCAGCTATAAAGGAAAAAAGAAAGCAGTCAATGTTTGCAAACCATATTATCACTGGGTCAACATTTAAAAAAGGAGAATGTAAAGGGCTCCACCGAAAACAGTGTACTTATATGAGCGGGGAGATTAGGGACTCATGTGAAGCTACACTTGCCTCCTCTTACTGGTGATCTCAATCCCTTTCTGATAAGTCTGTTAGATTTTCCACTGAGCCTTCCCAGCACCATTGTTAGGGAAAGCCGAACAGAAAACATTAATAGCAGTGATCAGGAAGCAAGTAATGCTTGACATCAGCGCACCCTAATACACCCAAATTAAACAGTTCCCCATTAACTGGATTTCCAAAATGCTCTTGAAATAAGAGGTTAATCAGTGAAAAGATTGCTGTGCCCACACTATTTCATGCTTAGCTTTGGGGGGGAAAAAAAAAGTTTGAGAAACTTGTTTGTTAGCTGGGGAGGGTGGTAATTAAGAGTCTCCACCCTTGATGAACCAATTTACCAATGCTTAGTCAATTTCCTGCCTCATGCACTCAGAACTAACATTTCCTTTGGCTTCAGTTACTAAATCCTGTAGGCAATAGCAAAAACATGAGAAAATATGTAAAACCATCAAAGAAAAAATAGTGTGAACACTGCATACATTTGAGAAGAAACAGGGAGAAGGGAAGGAGTAAAAGCAGATGCCTGCACTATCCAACCAAACCCCCCCTCTATAACATATATTAACAAGGCTGGTGTGACACTGAGCTAGAAAAAACCTTGGTCAAAAATCCTTCCGTAGTCTTGGCAGAAATTCCTGGCTGGAACCAATTCTCAGCTACAAGTCTTTAGAGGAACAGCTGAAAGGATGGAGAAAAACACACACACAAGTATGCTTGCTGGTGGAAAGGCTCAACAGCAAGGTTAACACGTTTCAATATTTCATCTAAAAGGGTCAACTGTAGAAGACTTTGGTTTTCATATAACAGAGTTGTGACATCTAGAATCAGGAGAACAACATGCAACAAAGGGAAGTCCCTAGCCGATCAGTTACCTTTTAAACAAAGCAATTTTGAGGTTAGGTGACAGACTGTGCACTGCAAAACCTTGTTATTTATGCAGAAGGTAGAAAGCAGGAGGCACAATGGTCATTATAGGCAATGTCAGCTTTAACTGAAATGTGGACTTCTACTTAAGACCAACTAATGTAGCAACACAGATGAATTAACCACTTCCAGAGGTTTGGTTATTTGTTGCTGCTATCAGCCTGAAGTATACATCAACAGGCCCACCTGACTTTTAGTAAGGATTGGACCCACTGATCTTAAGAGATTCAACCATGGAGGGGGTAAAAAAAAAGAAAAAAAAAAAAAAAAAAAAAAACTACCACAGTTAGTGTGATGCAAAAACCTATGAACATCAGTATTTGTTCATGATACCACAGATGAAAAAAAAAAAATTGCATATAACAAGAGTAGCATTTGCAGATAAATGAAATGGTTGGGCTTGGCTGACCAAGGCAATATTAGGGATCTACACCATGCTGCCACACAGAGGTTTAAAAGTGAGGTCCACATATCAATTAAGGACTCTTGTATGTATAGGAGAAATTCAGCAATGTACTTCAGAAAAACACTGTATAAACAGAACCTGAATTGTTTAGTGTAATGCTGAATTCACACTAGGTCAGATCAACGACTTCTTTGTTTCCTTTCATAAGAATAAAGCATGCAAAAAAGGACAGCTATAAAACATTTTCTTGATGTCTGTAAAAACTGAAGTATGGGACAGAACCACAAGAGGAAAGTACCATTAGACTTCTAAATACAAATGAGGGGCTTGAATAGCTTATCTAATGAATGATTAAGCATTTACTGCAGACTGGAACTTGCCTGTATCACAGTGAGCAGTTTCCTAGACACTAGCTTAGGAAACAAATGTCATTCTCTGACCTACATAATGACAGAACCAACAAACTGCAGACACTGCTTCAGCTTCATAGCAAGTAGATGACCAGAAAGGGTTATGTAATATACCATGGCAGCAACACTGGCGTCACATCAATTCTTTTCAGAGATGCAAACAGTTCATAGCACATCAGCCATCTTTATGGAGATACTATATTTATCCTGAAGAACGGAGAAAAACCACACTATTCAGCTGGCAATATTAACAAAGAGGGGTCTGGATCTCTTGCTTTCAATTTTCCTCACACATGAAGTCATAAATTGAAAAAAGGAAGTTAATAAATGGTTAACGCTTTGCTCTGTGATATTATATTAACAGACCATTCACTGTTCACTTGGAATTAAAAACAGAAAGATTTCCCTAATGTGAGCTGATTAAATTGAAAAGGGCAGTATGCATCTTGTAGGAAGTGTGACGCCATGTTTGTGCTAGAATCTGTCATCCCATTAAGAAAAATGCAAAAAAAATAAATAAATATACAAATAAGTGGTCATGGGAATAATGTTGTTAAGGTTTTTCCAACCTCCATCCCTTATGTTTTTTTCTTCTCTCATGACTGGAGAGGTCAGCGTTATTGTGACCTGCATTTTAGGTTCTACGCAGGAATTCAAAATAATAGCTGCTTCTGGGATGGAACACGCCACCTCATATTTCTCAGGGCTGATAACCTGTAGGAATAGAGAATTACAGTATTTTAGAGGAACAATGTAACAAATAGCTAAAACATAAGCGAAGAAAAAAAAATTAACGTTATTCAAAGAAGCTCTGTTGGCAAACCATTAATTTAAACAAAAACAGCTCTCTGTAAGATTTATCTATGCACTTTGCGTGTTATGCATGTTTTTTTTTTCCTGTAAAAGTCTCCCATGTTAAGCCATCGGCAAGCTCCAAGACTGGTGCTGGGTGCTGCCATCTTCTCCAATCAAAAGTTTAATTTAGGCTAATATCTGTGCAGGTCCTGCTTGCTGTGTTTGCGCAGGCACAGCAGCCTGTTCATTTGAATAGGCTGCTGTAACTACAGGAACACACACACACACACACACACACACACAAAAAGAACTGGAGACTGCCTGAAAAGACCTTATGGCCAAAGCTGGCACTAGATGAAGATAAAACATCTGTGTCACTTAGAGAAAATGTTAACAGAAGACCTGGTGTCAGGCTTGCAAGCCCAGGAAACCATTCTTTGGCTCATGCAACACTCACAGATGTAGTGGAGTTCCCCTTGACAGGAAAGGGTGGAACCCGATGCTTGTGATCATTAGCATGGATGATGGTTTGTCTGAGCCATCTAAATCAATGGTGAAGGAGATAGAGACCACTTTGTGTTTGGTGTCAATTCAGGACAAGAAAAACAAAAAAAAAAAAAAAAAAAAAAAAAAACCAGTGAGCGGACAACTCTCTCTGAAAAAGGATAGAAAAAGGCAGAAACCTGGCCTTTGATAGTGATGAAAGCCAATCTCTGGTCCAGATCCAGCTGCAGAAGAACAAGGTTCATCCTGCATACGAACTCCAAAAGTAAAGGTCAAGATTCAAACCAAGTTTAGGTATGCCTTCCATGTGTGAAGACAGACCTAGCTGTTAGCATCATATAAATCACACAAGGGTGTGGGAATTTTTTAAAAAACTACTTGTCCAGGGACTAAATCGGTGCCCTAATCTACTTGTCCCTCGTGACAATCTATTTTTGCAGATAAGAAAAAAAAAATTTTTTTTTAACAAAAGTTGTATTGAAATCGGAGGTAAAATTAGGAATGTCAGTGGCTTTTAAAAACAAAAAAGGGCTTTATGGCAACTCAAACGTTTAAGATTTTTACCATTGCGCTGTTTATCTCCTCCCCTCCCTGCCTCTCTCCAGCCCCATCCCCAGGGACTAGCAGGGAGGTGAGAGACCTTGCAGTGTAAACAACGATTGGCTGCTCCCCAGGAAAGGGTGGGTCAGGGCTTATCCATTTGCTGCCAGAGCAGTTATTGCATTTTTTGCACAAGTTTAATGAATCATTTTAGTCATTAAGATTACATGAAATCCCCTAACATGATATATTTTCTGAAAGCAGAGAGCCTAGAGAATAAAATAGTGTTAGTTCCAATTTTGTTTAGTCGCATTATATTACCGCAAAATATCAGTAAAAAATAAAAAAAGTTATTTTAGGGCACAAAAAAAAAAAAAAAGCAATAAATTACCCTATTTTTTTTTTGGAAAATATAAAAGATGAGGTTGCGAGTAAATAGATCTCCAACTTGTCAAACCTTATAATTTGTGCGCGCTTTTGAAATGGCGACGAACTTCAGTACTCTAATGAGTCAACACTTTTAAAGCCCCTTATAGGTCATCAGTTTAGCGTTACGGAGGAGGTCTGCTGCAAGAATTACTGCTCTCGTTCTGGCATGCACGGCGATATGTGACGTGTATCACAATCGACACGGTGCATAGGAGCCCCAGCGTGTGCTTTTATGTTTGTACGTGCATATATGTATTTTTTTTTGGGGGGGGGGGGGGCGTTGGTATGTGTTTGGGTGCAACTCATTTTTTACATTGAAAAATTTTTTTTTTTCTTTTTTTATCACATAGGGGACAAAGTTCCTCATGTGAATTTTTGGTGACAGGTTCTCTTTATTTGAGGCATCCAGGGTCTAAAAGACCCTGCATGTTTCCCCTGTGCTCCACGGAATATAAAGCGGCACACATCGCTTCCATGGCCAGGAATCTCTCAACGGGGACCCAGAAGTGACACCATAAATTCACTGGCACTGTATGGAAGCAATTCGGCAGCAGCGCTGACGCCTGAATGCTTCCACCTGACAGGTGAGCCCACTGCTTGCCTGCAGCAGGGCTAAAGGTAGAAAAAAAAACTACCTGCCAGACACCCGGAACTACATGTCCGTTGGGCGATAGGAATCGAACATCCCTAATCACAGAATTCAGAGATGCCCCTCTACCTTTGAACCAGGGCTTCAACGGCTATGCCATTAAAGCTAGCAACTGGAGCAGAAGGAGAAACTGAACCTCACGTTGGAAGGGCTGGATGATCTGGTAGAGACCACAGACCGTTCATCCAGGAGTTACCACGTTGGCATACCACATCCACCTGGGCCAGCCCAGGGCAATGAAAAAAAAAAAAAATCACCATTTCAATTATGCTAAGCAGATGAAGAGTTTTCAGGGAAGGAAAAGCATAAATCAGGGTGTTCTGGTTTCAATGAGCCACCAAAGCATCCACTACTTCTGCTAGAGGATCCCTGTACCTAGAGACAAACCTAGGAATAGGAGAGCCCACCTGAACAATCTATTCAATTTGAAAAAGATCAGACATGCCCTTGCAGTACATAGCTGATATAGATCTAAAGGAGATTGTACGATTGGATTGTACAGAAAATGGGTGGAAAGTGGTAAAGTAATGAGGGAGGTGTGGTCCAGAGTGGTCAGAGTCCACACGTCATATCACTCCCTATTCTGTGATGAAACAACACAGTGAATTATGAGAGATGTCCTACAGGAAGTGATTCAAGCAGAAAGCATTTTTAAAAACTCATACAGAAACATGAAAAAACAAACCTTCTGTGGATGAGGTATGTGAGAAATTGGAATAATTGGAACATTGGGATGGCTAGGCCAGGAAATATTAAAAAAGTATTCTATTATGAAAAGTGAAATTCTGCCTAAAAAGGTGAACATAGCCTTTAAACTCTCACGAGCAGGGTGCCCCGTAACTCGTATGTCTTGAACTGCATTGTAATGGTGCTGCTTCCCTTCAGATTTGTAATTGTCACACAAACTGTTCGTGCTATATAGATTCTGAATGATCCATCAGTGAATATCATCAGCGATAAGAGCAGCAGCTTAGTTTAACACTTTTTAGGTCAGGAAAGAGAAAAGTTTGGCTAGAACTCACTTAATAATAAATAATAGTATTGTAGAGACTTTCATTTAGGCTGCCAAAGTTAAAAGTTTGTAGTTACATTCCGCCCAGGTTCACATATATGCGGTGTGGTACATCACACAGGAACCGCACCACATTCTTGTGCAAATCACATGCGATTTGTGTGCGGTGTGATTGGAGCCATTTTGTATGGCTCTATTCGCACCGCACCAAAAAGGTGCAGGACCTGTTTTTGGGTCTGCACTAGAATCGGATCGCATGGGTATTCACACATATGTAATCCGATTCTGTACATCGCACCGCATTTTGCGGACCGCTTTTGGGGTGTTAACATACACAACACACCCGTAGAGGTTCGCATAAACGGGGTGCAATACTGATGTGGTGCAGAATTCTCACAGAAAACGCTGCGAATTCCACACTAGATCAGTGTGAATCCAGGCTTAACCTGTAGTGTTAAAGACATTTTGTAGCTTACCCAAGCAGCTTCATCGGTTCTAATGAGTCAGGAACATAGCCTAGCATTAGGTAGTGCAATGTCTTGGTATGTTGCTATAATGTCTATATAACTGCATATCCATTTCTGTGACTTCAAATTGAGCTTCAACAAAAAGCATCAAAAGAAGCATGACATTTACCACAAGAAATCTATAAACAAGCTTAGGAAGCGAAAAGAGATCCAAAGATCCCAAACAGGTTACTACTGATTAACAACGTGAATGCAGTCTACAGTGTATTTAATCTACCATATACAGAGAAAAGGTGATTCAAAGCACAACACTTACAGCAAGCTGTTTGGGAAGATTCTCCGCTATACGGGTCAGCAAAGACCTGGTTGGTTTCTCGGCACAGAGCAGAACCAGGCTGACATTTCGATCACCACGCAAGAGTAATCCTTTAGCCAGTACACCAACACGCAGGACTCCCTTCAGCGCTCTGAAAATAATAATTATTATACAGTATTTATAAAGTGCCAATAGTTCGCTCAGCGCTGTACATTACAAAGGGAGACAGAACATGTGACAGAACAATACCAATACAATGCAAAACATGAGGGGATCGAGGGCCCTGCTCTTTCGAGCTTACAATCTAGGAGAAATAATAAAGTTAACCAGTTAGACACAATGCAATATTCATTCTGCATTGGTTTATAGCTAGTAAGTGTGGATATCATGGTTTCATCACTAAATTTGGGGATCTGTGTGACCAAAATAGGTGAGAAAGGAATGTTGTCACCAACATAAGCTTGGCATTGACAGTTTAACCACTTGTCCTGAGGATTTACCCCCTACCTGACCAGGCCATTTTTTGGGTTACGGCGCTGCGTTATTTTAACTGACAATTGCGTGGTCATGCAACGTTGCACCCAAATGAAATTTGCATCTCTGTTCCTACAAATTGATCACGTTTAAATTTTTTATTTTTTGCGCTATACGAAAAAAAAAAAAAAAAAGACCAACAACTTTCAGAAAAAAAAAAAAATATATATTTTTTTTACTATTTGCCATTAAACATGTCCAGTAAAATTTCGTCATAAATTTAGGCCAAAATGTATTCTGCTACTTGTCTTCGCTAACAAAAAAAATCCCAATACGTGTAAATTAAATGGTTTACGTGAAAGTTTTAGCATTTACAAATGGCATAATAGATACTGGAATTTTTTTAATGTATTATTTAATTTTTACTAGTAATGGCAGTGATCAGCGACTTATAGCGGGACTATGGCGGGCATTCTGACACTGGGGGGAACTGACTTGGTGTCACCGACTACTAACAGCACTGGGCAGGAAGGGGTTAACATGAGGGGCAATCAAACCATCCAAAGCAGTGTGCAGCAGCTGAGAGGGAGAACTGTATTATTTACATACAGTTCTCCCCTTCTAGATCCTCAGCAATCACCGGGCACCAGCGAGTAATCACTGGCCGGGACCTAGTGATTGACAGCCATGGCCGCGAACAGCGGCGCGGGTAGGGTGTGGACCCCTACCCAGAAATGCAAAATCACGTATATATACACACACACACGTGATTTTGCTCACCCGTGCCGCCCTGTAGCAGTATATCTGCTAGAGGGAGGTCCGGAAGATGTTAAAGTGTCTCTATAGGCAAGTCTTTAATTTCTCTATAACATAGCCACACCCAACCTCTTTATATTCCACTTTTTGTTTTATTTACTTGCTTTAAGTTACTAGCATTTGGTAGGAGGGTTATCAGCAGTATTAAGCATTCACCTCAATGTATGCATGCATGAAACATCTGCACAGGGTGACAACACAGCGGTGATTTCACTGCAGTACATTTAGTAGGAGGGAATATGAGGAAGGATGAAATTAGATGGAATAAAAAAATGACAGCGGTACCTCAGTTTACAAATGCCTCGGTTAACGTAACTTTCGGTTTACGAATGAAAATCCATTGAAAATGGCTCGGTTTAGGAGTTTTTTACTAATCGTTTTCGCAATACGAAGTGTATGTCGGTGCTGATTTTTAAAAGCAATTGCCAGCTTTTTTTTTTTCTTCACTATAGCTCACAAGTTTAGCTGTCACTTTTCCCCAGAGTAACAGGAAAAATTTTTTTTTGAGAAACTAAAGAGGAAACATTGTTTCTTTTACCTTGGGGAAATAAACTAAAAGAAAACTCTTTTAGCTGGGGGGAAAGTGACAGCTGAATTTCTGAGCTATAGTGAAGGAACAACAAAAAAAAACAGAAGAGAAAAAAGCGGTAATTACATTTAAAAACCAGCACCATAATAAAATGAAAAAAAAAAAAAAACGGCCTAGGGTCCTCCCCCCCATCCATAGTAAGCCCTTTGGGTCTGGGTATGGATTTTGAGGGGAACTCACATGCCAAAATTGAACGGAACCTTTTTTTTTTTTCTTTTTTCAGGTCAGCGGCGGGCATTGTGAATGATGTTGGATCTATTGCAGGGAGACATTCTTTTAGTTTTATCTTTCAATAAAGGACTTGTCAAAGACCGTGTTGTCTTTTTTTCCCACAGTACACTATTTGTGAATGAATATCGGAACTATGTACCCCATACTCATTCATATGGGGGGGGGGCCAGGATCTGGGGCCATCCTTGCCCCAAAACACCACCCCATGTTGAGGGCATGTGGCCTGGAATGGTTCAGGAGGGGGCAGCTCTCTTATGGATTGGGGGGGGGGTTGGAACACCCACGTCATTTTCATCTATTTATTTTTTTATTTTGGCATGGGAGTTCCCCTCAAAATCCATACCAGACCCGAAGGGCTTGGTATGGATAGGAGGGGGAACCCCACGCCAGTTTTTAAATAATTTTTTTTAATTGCCCGCTGACAGCTGAAACATTAACACACAGTTGTCACTACTAAAATACCGCATGACTTAATAAAATAACTCATGCGGTATTTTAGTAGTGTCTACTTTTTTCTGACCTCCAGAACGGATTGATTTTCAATATATTCCTATAGGAAACGGTGTTTCAGTTTACAAATTTTTCGTAATACGAAAAATCCTGCAGAACGAATTAAATTTGTAAACCAAGGTATTACTGTACATGTATATTTCAACCACTTCAATACCGGGCACTTTCATCCCCTTCCTGCACAGGCCAATTTTTGGCATTCAGCACAGTCACACTTTGAATGACAAATGCAACACTTTACCCCTGTGAAACTTTTAGCTTTTTTCCCCCAAATAGAGCTTTCTTTTGGTGGTATTTAAATCGCCACTGTTTTTTTTTTTTTTTTTTATTTGCTAAACAAAACGAAAAAAGACAGTTTTGGAAAAAAAAAAGTTTTAGTTTGTTATAAAATTTTGCAAATAAGTAATTTTTCTTCTTCACTGATGGGCACTGATCAGTGCCCTGATTATCAGTGTAAACAATGTATGGTCAGACTGGCCACTTAACGGCTACCCTTTTCTCAGGGAGTGTGGGGATCCTGATGATCCTACCAGTAACACTTCCTGTCATAGGATGATCAGGTTCACTCACTAAGCTATATCTATGGAGTAGCAGCAACAGCACCCTAGGCTGCTTTCCAGAAACGGATTACAAAAACCTCTCCACCAGGAGCGAGGTAATTTGTAGTTTCCAGAAGCTAGCTGGGAAAGTGGATATTGTCTGAGATTTAGACAGGGTCAACAGGTCTTTTCTATTCTTGTAGAAAATCTTAGCCTAAAAAAAAAAGAAAATGAAATCTAATGCAGCCATCACATCTAATAACTAGTAAGCTGCAATATATTACATTTTTGTTCTTGAGTTTAGATACCCTTGTGTGGTTCAGCAAAAATTTTAGAAAGCCCAAACAGAGAACAGCTTTATGCTAGCTGCACACCATTCCCCCCATTGTGTCCAAGCAGACATACATAAAATAAAAAATGAAGCAGATATAAACACTCTGAAATCACATCCATTGATGAGCCGCCCATACCTCTCTTTGCTAAGATCCTTCTTCTCATCAGTCTCTTTCCCCTTACTTTTGTCTTGGTCAGCCATAGAGTCAGAGACAAGTTTCAGTGCTCGTTCAGTCAGAGATACTATCTTCTGGACAGCCTGCAGTTCCTCCTCTGTTGGGTAGATGGTAGCATGTTTGGTCATAACATATCTGTCATCGGAGGAATCTGGTCGCCGTAGAGGCTAAAAGAAACAAACAAATAGGTCAGTATGACTTAATAGCTTGCATACATTAAAACTAAGCTCACAGTGGATTAAAGAAAACATTTCCAGAGATACTGTAAATATTGGGCTGCCGTTTATCAGAAAATACTAGTGGTTTGGTTGTTACATTGACCCATGATCTTCAATAAATATCAGGAGCTACCTAGGAGGATCCTTATGTTCATTCTTGTTCTGAGTCAATACAGAGGGGAAAGTAATTATTTGATCCCCTGCAGATTTTGTAAGTTTGCCCACTTACAAAGAAATTAAGGGTCTATAATTTTTTAACATAGGTGTATTTTAAATGATAGAGACAGAATATCAACCGAAAAGCCACAAAAAACACACAATATAAATGTTATAAATTGAGTTGCAGCTCAGGGAGTAAAATAAGTATTTGATCCCCTACCAACCAACAATAATTCTGGCTCTCACAGACTGGCTATGTGCTCATGTGGTACACAGATTAGTCCTGTCAATTTAAGGTGCTCCTAAGGACAACTCATTAGGTGTATAAAAGACACCTGTATACAGAATCTCTTTCTTCCATTCAAACCTCGCCATCATGAGCAAAGAGCTGTCAAAGGACGTCAAGGACAAGATTGTAGACCTGCAAAAGGCTGGAAATGGCTACAAAACCATCAGCATGAAACTTGGTGAGAAGGAGACAACTGTTGGAGCGATTATATGCAAACGGAAGAAATATAAAATAACCATCAATAGCCCTCGGTCTGGAGCTCCATGCAAGGTTTCCCCTCATGATGCAAGGATGACCATGAGAAAAGTGAGGGATCAGCCCAGAACTACACAGAGGGAGCCTGTAAGCAGTTGGGACCAGTCACCAAACAAACCATTGGTAACACAATACCCCACCATGGATTGAAATCCTGCAGCGCCCACGAGGTCGTCTCCCTCCTCAAGAAGGCACATGTACAGATCCACCTGAAGTTTGCCAATGAACATCTAAATGATTCGGAGAAGGATTGGGAGAAAGTGCTTTGGTCAGATGACATCAAATTTGAGTTCTTTGGCATTAACTCGACTTGCCTTGTTTACAGGAAGAAAAATTCTGACTATGACCCTAAGAACACCATCCCTACAGTCAAGAACAGAGGTGGAAACATTATGCTTTGGGGCCGTTTCTCTGCTAAAAGTTACAAACCAAATTGAGGGGCCAAGTATTGTAAAATCCTGGATGAGAACCTTCTTCTCTCAGCCAGAACACTGAAGATGGGTCATGGATGGGTCTTCCAGCACGATAAAAAACCAAAGCATACCACAAAATCAACAAAGGAGTGGCTCAAGAAGCAGCACATTAAGGTCATGGAGTGGCCTAGCAAATCTCCAGACCCTAATCTTACAGAAATTATATGGAAGGAGCTGAAACTTTGAGATGCTAAGCGACAGCAAAGAAACCTTAAAAAAGTGTTCCTAAACCCAGAACCCTACATTCACTATATCTGGTATTCCACAGCACACAGAACATGGAAGTGCAATTATTTCAGTAAACATAAACTGCTAACTTTGATCCCCTGCAGATTTTGTAAGTTTGCCCAATTACGAAGAAATAAAGGGTCTATAATTTTTGTTTTTTATCATAGGTGTATTTTAAATAAGAGGCAGAATATCAACCAAAAATCCAGAAAATAACACGATACTATAAGTATTTGAACCCAAAGCAAAACATGACTTAGTACTTGGTGGAGAAACCCTTGTTGGCAAGCACAGAGGTAAGACGTTTCTTGTAGTTGTTACCAGGTTTGCATATATCTGGAGATTTTAGTCCAATCTTCTTTACAGATCTTCTCTAAATCCATAAAGTGTTACTAAATCCACAACAGTAAAATCAGTCTGTATATGCAGTAAAGCATGGTGGTTATATTCACTGTGGAATCTAAGGGGTTAATTCTCCACATTGTTGAAAAAGGATGTTTGATCCTGTCTTCTCGGATTCTCCCTTTCTTCCATTGTCCCCTAAATATGTTCTGCTAGAACAGAGGTTTGGAGTCACTCTGCACACGTTCACTTTGGTGTGTATTGCTAGAGTTTTTTCTTTTCTCTTGGGAGAGTGCAAGTGTTCAGCACAGGGCTGTCCAGACAGGGGTCGGGAGTCCTCATCCTCCTGGAGAATGAAAACTCTTCCTACAAGATTAACCAGTGCTCAGCTGGACACTGATAGAAGTCAAAAGACTGCTATATACTGATGATGAGAAAAGGTATTTAGCGGTCTAAATTTACTAAAATAATTGCATTTCCATGTTCTGTGTACTGTGGGAGACCAGATATAGTGAAGGCAGGGTCCTGGGTTTAGTAAGACTTTAAAATACACCTGTTAAAAATTATAGACTCTTCACTTCTTTGTAAGTGGGCGAACTTACAAAATCTGCAGGTGAACAAATAATTATATTCCCCACTGTATATCACAGCAAAAGTATTGGCATGTCAGCCAAGCAATTAATATTCTCAGAATTAGAATTCAGCAATACCAGCTTGAGTGTTTCCCTCAAAAAAAAAAAAAAAAAAAAAAAAAAAAAAATAGTTCCTCAAAAGGTTGCAGATTTTTTAGTTAGGCTATGAAACAAGATTTGTGATAGGTTGCTATACATTTCTACTTTTCTAAAAATCGAAAGAGTCAGGTTGTTAGGGGAGCACCTACACATCTTAATCTTTTAGAATTTAGTGGTCAAACTGCTGCAACAGCCAAGAATAGTAGATGTGCTAACCGACCTTTACCAAGACTGAGCAGAGTGTGACAACTGCATTGCAGCCATCTAAAAATCCAGTGGATTCAACAAAGATCAGCTGCACTTACAGCTGGTCCTTGTGGTTGTGGTGGCATCCCTGGTCTCACTCCCAATAAGCCAGGAGGTCCTGGAGGACCATGGTGATAGCCTCCCTCCGGTCCTCTTCGTCGATCATCCCAATGATGTTGCTCTTCCTCCATTCTCCTCCAGTACATGTCTTCTTCATAGCGCCTGCAAAATAGTAGAAATTTGATTGCATCTCCGGCATCAATAAAACTTTGGCAAAGTTTAAAAAATGTATGCTTTTTAAGAAGTGTTTCTAAGTAAATGTGCTAATTTATCAAAACTGCAGCAACCGAAAAGGGTACTGGGCATCGCAACCAATCAGGGGTTAAATTCAGTAGATTTAAACATCTCAAATCTGACAACTACAAGAGCTTTGTGTTCCAAAAGCTAACGGCAGTGCCAAGCAGGCAACACTATTTGGTTGCACAATCTCCTTTAGATCTGCCCACAATTATGCAGTGAGGGTGTTGCTTGACTGGTCATAAAAATTTGAAAGATATTGTTTTGACTATGGTATCGATCCACAGAGCTTTGACTAAAGATGACTTGCATTTAAAGTGAAGGTCTGAAGATAGAAATATGGAAGTTGCCACCTCTCACATCAAGGTTCAGGCTGCAAAATCAAATAAGTCACTGACCCAATACTCGCATGCAGCCAGTGAAGTCAGAAAATATCTGAACGCTTGGTAGTGAAGTCAGAATCCAGTGCAAGGGCTGCATCTGTACGAATAGGGGGATCTTCCATAATTTTGCCCTCATAGGTAACCCACCTTCCAGCACTGCAAGGCAATTTGTGTTTTCACCTTTGAGTCCAGCCAAAGTGCTGTGGTAGAATTCTACCATTCTGCAGTCATAAAATTGCCTAGTTCACCTTCGGGTACTACCCCATTTTTAGAGTCGACAGTCATCCCAGTATGGCAACCAATACATTCATTACAGGAAACAGGGGAGGAGCCTGAACATGGCAGCTGTGGAGAGCGAGCGGCTCTAGCTCCTTGCTGGGTCCCGCTCCCCGACCCACCCAGTTACCCTCAAGAGGAGTAGACTCACCAGAGTCTGGACGGGGTGGAAGGTGAACCCGGAGAGCCGGAGATGGGAGCTGATCTGAGGCTGCAGGGTCACGCCGGATCCCCCGGCGCGGTATGAGTGGGAGATCCGTGCGGCTGAGAGGAGAGGAGACGCTGCTGAGCACGTGACCTGCCGCGGAGCATCACTGGGGGAAAGAGGCGGCCGGCCGGCTTCCTGATGTGACAGGGAGCCGTTGGTCCACTGTTGCAAGCACCCCCTGGCTGACTGTCTGATCCTGGGTCAGGGAGACCCATGAATATCAAGAGATCCATCCTGCTTCCCTGGGACGAATCAAAATGAAATAAAGTACTGGAAACCCAGAGGAATCCCCCCTCCAGGACTGTGCAGCAGTGAAGGCCCTCCACATAAGCCTGGAGCCACCACCGACCTGGGAAGGGTGAGTGAGTGCTGCTGGGGGCTTATTGTGTTGTGAACCCTTGAGAGACACAGGAGACCAAGGGGTGAAAGAGGAGAGGGGAGGATTCCCAGGGGTTGGAAGAGAAGAAGAGAGGAGGCCCAGGTGTTTTAGGAGAGTAAAAACACATAGGAAAAACAGCAAGCCTGTCTGGTCCATAAATCATAAAGAAGCGGTAAAATCCCATCTTGAGAATATGAAGAATAAAGGTTCCAAGGGAGCAGGGCTCAAAGGGTCCCAAACAGGAACAATAAAGAAATTTACATCATATGGAAATATTACGCCAGAAAGGGCCCAAGGCGCAAGCGCAAAAGGGGAAATGGACATTAGTCTAGGAAGCAGTCCTAGATTATCATTGGGCATGAATAGCAGTTGTAGCCAACAAATAGTAGATGGCTCGGGAAAAAAAGAATCTGATGACAAGTACCAAATAAGAAGGAGATGATAGAAATGTTTCAAAATTTGGAAAAAATGATAAAACATGAATTGACAGCTATACGAAAGGATTTAGGGCATCTGCTAACAAGAATGGAAGAATCAGACAAGAATGGAAGAATCAGAGGAGAAAGTCAAAATCCAGGCCCAAAACATAGATAATCTAAGGAAAAAAAATAACCCATTTGGTAACCTCTCAGAAAAAATTGACCTATAGGATGGAAGCTCAAGAAAATAAATAAAGAAGGTGTAATCTTAGAGTACGAGAAATCCCAGAGACTGCAAAAGGTGAAACGCTATATGATCTAGTTAAAAAAATTCTGAACTCCATAAGAAACAGACCTGATACAGATGGGATCAAGTTAGACGGAGTGTTCAGAATAGGAAAGTTCAAACAGGCTACTGAGAAGGACAGGCCGAGAGACATAATTGTCCAGTTCCAAAAATTTGGGGCCAAAGATGAGATTTGGAAGAAAACTAAGGGAAGATCATCAATTAAGTATGGAGATTGGACTATCCAAATTTATGCGGACTTAACAGCAGAGACCCTAAGGAGAAGGAGATCCCTGAGACCCCTGCTGGAGCAAATGAGAAAACAGAATGTGCAGTATAGATGGGGTACCTCAGCAACTCTAATTGGCTGGAAAAACGCTTATTTGAGATTCCCGGAGGAACTAAGGGATTTTTGTGATAGACTGGACATGCAAAGAATGGAGATTGCTGGGTGGGAAGAAGAGGATAAAGGAGATACAGAGAACACAAGAAAAGAGGACTGGCAGCGGGTCAGGGGAAGGGGGGGGTAGGCTCTGGGGCCGGGGAGGGAAGGGAGGGAGAATTAAGTAGAAAATATGTTTTGTTTGTTTTTTTTTTCTCTCTCTCTCTCGCCCCTGGTCTCTCCCCCCCCGAAAGTTGAGGTCCTCCGGGAAGCTCCGGTTAGGAGAGAAGTAATGATACTTCCTGAGCCTGGCTGATAGAGAGAGGGGACCTAGGGGGGGTCGGAGAGAGGTGAGCCGTACATGGGCGGAGCTTACGCCCTAAATTTTAAATCAAAAGGTGGAATCAGATCCACAAATGATTTGTAGGCAGTTTATAAGCCTAAAAATGGGTAGGGGAAAAAGAAGAGAGGGCGGGGGGTGGGAGATGGGGGTTGGGCGGGAGGGAGCTGAGGGAGGGGAGGTTGGGTTGATATGCTGCAAGATAGTAGGGGGGCCTAATAGGAAGAGACGAATCAGAAGAGAGATAGACAGAATCAAGAAGGATGGAAGAAATACAGTTTATAACATATAATGTGAACGGGTTGAACTGTCCTGGGAAAAGATTTAAGTTGTTTAAAGAGTTACACCACAGGGCAACGTCTGTGGTATTTTTACAGGAGACACATTTTGAGATAGAATCAAATGTGAAATTAAAATCCAAATATTATCCAACATGGTATTATGCTGACTCTCCAATTAAAAGAGCAAAGGGGGTGGCAATAGGATTGGCAAAGAATATGAGATTTGAGTTGGAAGATAGAAAGACTGACCCGGAGGGGAGATTCCTGTTCTTGAAAGGTAAACTACAGGGAATTGAGTGTACACTAGCCAATATATATTGCTCCAACAAGAAACCGGAAATCTTTTTGAAGGGTTTGTTGAAAAAATTGATAGATTTTAAAAAAGGGAGTTTGATAATAGCAGGAGATTTTAATTTTTGTATGGACCCACAAAAGGATGCAACCTCCCTTGTGCGGAGAGAGGGGGGTAGGTCTCTGAGAGCTTTGAAGAAGGTGATCCACGAGTACCAACTGGTTGACACCTGGAGAATGATGCATATGAAAGACAGAGACTATACCTTCTTCTCTAATGCACATGAGATATACTCGAGACTGGATTACATTCTAATAGATCATCAACTCATTGAAATGCTGGTTAAAATAGAAATAGAGACAAGAACTTTCTCGGATCATGCCCCTGTCATAATGAAAATAGGATGGGGAAAAAGGTGGACGGGAGGTTTAGGATGGAGGTTAAACGAGGCTCTTCTCTTGGATGAAGATATTGTGCAGAAGATCAGGGAAGAGATTAAGGTATTTTTCAAGGAGAATGAGACAGAGGAAGTAACAACAGCTACAGTATGGGAAAGTCATAAGGTATATATAAGAGGAATTTTGATTGCGATGGGAGCAAGGAAGAAAAAAGAAAGAAGAGAGAGGGTTAGTGGACTCTTAAAGGAAATCCTGGATTTGGAGCAGATACATAAGAAGAAAATAATAATAGAAACAAGACAGAAGTTAATGGATAAAAAAAGATGAATTAGAGAGATTGATGGAAGAGGAGAGGAGAAGGGTATATAACAAAGTATTAAGTAAAAGATATAGATGGGGAGATAGACCAGGAAAATATTTAATGAGAGCCTTGAATAAAAAGAAAAACAGGAATTATATAGAAAAGATAAAAAGCCCTAAGGGGGAGTTGGTCCACTCAACTAAAGAAATCATTAAAGTATTCACTGAGTATTATAGAAAGTTGTATAACATCAGTCATCAAGGTTCACCAAAAGAAACTAGAGAAGGTATTAACAAAAAAAGGAAGATATATTTAAAAAATGCTGGATTGCCAAAGCTTAGTGAAGCACAATTGAATTCCTTAGATGCGGAAATTTCCCAGGAAGAAATAGAAGTAGCATTAAGAAGTACAGGGGGGAGGGAAAAGCCCAGGCCCGGATGGTTATACAGTTAAGTACTATAAAAAATTTTGTGAAGTACTGATACCAAAGTTAAAGAAGTATATGAATGACTTGGGAGGGGGGATGGAGGGGAGGAGGGAATCCCTTCAGGCCCATGTCGTTTTCATTCATAAGGAGGGAAAAGATCCCTCTCAGTGCTCTAGTTACAGACCAATTTCATTATTAAACACCGATACCAAGTTGTACGCAAAGGTCTTGGCAAACAGGCTAAAAGATCTAATGCCCGAATGGATCCATGGAGATCAGGTGGGGTTCATCCCGGGGAGAGAGGGTAGAGACAATGGGTTGAGAACTTTGATGCTTATCCAGAAAAGTAGAAAAGGAAAAGCCCCGGTGGTGCTCTTGTCAATTGATGCCGAAAAGGCGTTTGATAGAGTGGACTGGGGCTTTATGATGGACAACTTGGAAGTGTTGGGATTGGAGAGAGAATGCGTGAGTGGATAGGTAAATTATATAGGGAGCCCACCGCAATCATCACGGTAAATGGGGAGAGGTCGGAATCCATTGGGATGTCCAATGAAATAAGACAAGGCTGTCCATTGTCCCCCTTGCTGTACGTTTTGACATTGGAACCCCTGTTATCAATAATAAGGAATAGCGGAGCGGTAAAGGGAATCCAGATAGAAAATATAGAACATAAAGTAGCGGCCTTTGCGGACGATCTATTGTTTTATGTAGGCAACCCCCGAATAACACTACCAAGTATTATGAAGACCCTGAAGGAATATGGTGAACTATCAAATCTAAAAATTAACCCAACAAAAACAGAGATTTTTGAACATCAATATACCAAAGAGCGAAAAAGAAAAGCTACAAAAAGAATTCCCCTTTATATGGAGAGAAAAAGATATAAAATACCTAGGAATAAAACTTGCTACCTCATATAAACAACTATATAGATTAAACTATATTTCCCTGATAAATGAGATTAAGGACGAACTAAAAAGATTAGAAGGAGGAAACCCATCATGGTTAGGACGTATAAATCTAGTTAAAATGGTAATTATACCTAAAATACTCTATAGATTTCAAATGATTCCAATAAAACTCCCAGAGGCATTTTTTAAGATAATGAGAAGAATGATAACAAGATATATATGGAGGAATAAAAAACCAAGAATATCATATGAAACACTGAGTAGGACTAAAGAGAAAGGGGGGATGGGACTACCTGAAGTCAAGAGATATTACAAAGCAGTAATTTTAGCAAGAATCTATGATTGGACTTTTAACCACAAGGGGAAAGGTTGGGTAAAAATGGAAAATGAGCTGAGTGGAATTAATTTGAGTAAGATGATATGGGTTCCAGCACATTATAGAAGAATTAAAGAAAGCACAAGCACCTTCACTTTAAACGTTTTAAGGACATGGGATAATTTACACAAACACATGAAATGGGAATTCAACTCTATAATAATGCCTCTTGCAAACACGGAGCTCTTCCCTCCAGGAAAAGATGAGATATCAGGGAGATGGTTTAAAAAGGAAGATATCCAATTGAGAGACGTATTGGAAGAGGGGGAATTGAGAACATTTAAAGAATTAAAAGAGATGGGAGGAGATATGTTTACTAAAATAGATGAGTGGAAATATCACCAATTAAAATGTTTTATTGGAAATCTCCCAAAACCCTTGAGATTTAAAAAAGGAGTGGAATATGTTTGAAAGGCTATTAGAAACACGTAGAGATGGGAAACATGGTGTTACAAAAATTTATAGAATACTCACAGAATTAGACACAGACACAAAGTTAATTTTTATAACAAATTGGGAAAGAGATATGGAGGTGGTGATAGATGAAGATCAACAGAATAAGATATTTAGATTGGTTCATGAGAGTGTTAGTATGAGAGACGTTGAGATTATTATAAATGTCTGACACGATGGCATATTACACCGAGCACTGAGCACAGGATGAGGGGGGAGAATTCAAAAATGTGTTGGAGAGGATGTGGGGAGGAGGGCACGGCGTTTCATATATGGTGGCAATGTCCAAAAATTCAGGTTTTCTGGAAGACAATAGTTAAATCAATAGAAATAATAACTGGAAATGACATAGGGCTTGACCCAACCATGTGTCTCTTACATAATGTTGAGACAACCGTAAATAAATATAAAGAATCAGGTGTATGGTACTACTTAAGTGCTGCAAAAGGGTTGATTCCCAAGTTTTGGTGGAAGACGGAGGTGCCGACGGAGGAAGATTGGATCAATAGGGTAAACCAGATTAGTAGAATGGAAAAATCTTATTATATTCAGGAAGACAGGTTGGATCTATACTATTCGCGATGGGAAAAATGGGAAAAATCAGGATTGAAAGAGAAATATAGAAAACTTTAAACTAGGAAGTTTTTTAAAGTTATTGGACCTTGAGAGATTGGAGATCTTGCAGAGGGGAGGGAGGGGGGAAGGGGGGTAAAGGTGGGCTGGGAGGGTAGGGAAAGAAAAGAGGTAAAATAGAAGGGGCAAAGTAGAAATGTATGGATTATTTATATGTATTGTGTCTCTTCTTGTGGAATTTTTGTAATAACATGAAAAATTAATAAACATTTAAATTAAAAAAAAAAAATACATTCATTACAGGTCAATGCTGAAACCAATGTATGAAAGTCATGAAAACGACCTGCAATGAAAGTAGAAATCCTTGCACTGTGGGTAAAAGAACATGACCCTGTAGAGGACAGAAAGGATGTCGAGATTCTCAATTCTGTAATCCACCACATGTAACTAAAAAGATTAGGCCCATTCAGCCAGCCACAGGGACCTGTACTGCCTGCAGGCTACTCTTGTTTTTGTATCTGCATTCACCCCAAGTTGTGTGCAGATAGCCACATTTATAGGCTGCCTGCAATCCATGCAACAACAAATGCCACCGGCCAGTATAGGTGCCAGCACCTGTCTGAACGAGGACCTAAAGTAAAAATGTTATTTTTCTTTCATATTTGTAGGTGCATATTATTCACTAGTATGCTATCGAGAGGCTTGAAACAAACGTTTGTAGGATATTTGTTGTATCAGGCCATTTAGTAAATAAACCCCTTGGTGTTACCCTTTGCCTAAGTTTATAAAGCTGGAGAGTCCAAAATCAGACTCCCTTCTGCATAGAAACCAATCAGCTTCCAGGTTTCATTGCCAAAGCTTCATTGAACAAGCTGAGGTTAGAAGCGGATTGGTTTCTATGCAGAAGGGAGTCTGATTTTGGACTCTCCAGCTTTAGTAAATAAACCCCCAAGAGTCTGACTCTGTGAACCCACAAAAAAAAACAAAAAAACAAAAAAAACAAACACATAGCTATAGGACAGAGAATAAATGTATGTACAGCATAACTTTTTAATACAGACTACAGTGTACTACAATATCTTGAATACTTCAAACTAATCCACACACCTCATCTCCATCCTCCACCGCTCCTCCTCTTCTCTCCTTCGCCAGTACTCTTCTTTCTGCATCTGTTTCCGCATCTTCTCCTCTTGGATCTTCCTGGCTCGAATGCTTGGCTTCACTTCCACCTGTAAATCTGGGTTTACTTTTTTCTGTTTGTAGAACAGGAAAAAGGAAGAAAATTCAGAAAGGATTTATTCATGCTTCAAATTCAGTAGTTCATACAATTTAATCAGTAGTTGGAATAAGAACTTAAAGTAAGATATTACTAGTCTAGTACTCGCCTTGTACTGCAGCCGATGCCTCCTCCCTTTAAGGTGCATTTCTTTAGCATTTGGATCATTGAAGCTGCATTCGCACAGCTTACAGTGGAATCTGATAACTTTTCCTTCATCATTTCGTACCTGAAGGAAACAGTTGTAGGTAAAAAAAACAAAAAACTTAGATTTGACAGGGAGTTTTGTGCAATATACAGGGGTTAAAAAAAATAAAATACTACATTATTTGCAGGTGTCAAAGCAACGAATGGGTTTCACGTTGAATGCGGAAGAGATGTAACAATCTTTTGCTTCCGTTGTGTGATGAGACACCTAGCTAACAGGTGGGAAGCTTCACTTTTTGTCAGTCACTGCCAGTAATAAGAAGTCAGAGCTTACTTCAGAGAGGGTGAATTTTTGGTGCCCGCTTATCTGGTGCCTCTATGGTTGAAGTTGGCAATTTAATTTCAGTGTTGTGAGGTACAGTATCAAAGGTTATGGCAGCATATAGTTTCTGGGAAAACGTTGTTTGATAAACATGAGCACGGTCAACATGGTCAACTGATTCAAAAAAGACAAAAAAAAGAACATTGTGCAGCATTGTGACCCAGAATAAGAAAACTGCTGCAAAAGTGGCTGCAGAGCTCAATCTCAGTACCGTGAAGACTGAGATTGAGCTCTGCAGCCACTTTTGCAGCAGTTGTTTTCTTCCGGATCACAATCCTGAGCAATGTCCTGTTGTCACTTTCAGTCAGTTGACCGTGTCGACCATGCTTAGGTTTCCCAGAAACTGTATATGCCATCATAACCTTTGATACTGTACCTCACGGCATGGCAAATAAATTGGCAACTTCAGTCACAGAGGTACCAGCTAAGCGGCGCCAAAAACTCACCTTCTCTGAAGCTCAGTAAGCTCTGACATGACTCCGTATTACTATCAGCACATGCTGTAAATGACGATATTAGGGCTTCCCATCTGGTTAGCTAGGTGTCTCAGAACACAGAGGAAGAAAAAAAATGTTACATCACTTCCGCTTTCATCAAGAAACTTGTCACTTTCACACCTGCAAATCATGTAGGGTTTCCATTTTTTTGTCACACCTCTGTAAATTCCAATATATGACAATTCATTCTAAACATTAACAAGCAATCTGAGTATATGCCAACTGCCTGTTGACTACTAATCAAAGGATATTCAAATAATTGACTGTTTTGTGGAATTCTACCCAAAAAGTTTAATTACTTGCCCTCCAGAGGATTTACCCTCTCTCTGACCAAGCAATTTTTTTGATACGGAGCTGCGTTACTTTAACGGACAATTGAGTTGTCATGCAACACTGCACCCAAATGAAATGTATGTCTTTTTCGTACAAATAGAGCTTTAGCATTCCAAAGACCGTTACTGTACATTAGGTGTGGGTGCGTGCAGCGTGGTGCGGTGGTAATAACACTCACAGTTCAGATGCAAATCAGTAAAACTTGCACTGTAAAAAAAGGCAGAACTTGTATTGCAGTCAAGGCAAGCAGTTCACAACAAACTCTGTGGGAGAGGACCCAACTGGGAACACTAAGCTTTCCCGTCTCATCTGGAGCCTCTTTCTGCCACTAATACTGTCCTTGACAGACGGGGAACCTGTCCCAACACTACCCACACGCGAATGTGTGCCAAAACCTAGGGAGCAGAGACTTAAAAAGAGACTGCCGATACAAAATGGCCGCCAAGGGTCACCCGGATGTAGAAAAGCCAACCAGAACACTGCCTCCAGAAACCAGGAAACCACAGAGAAATAAGAGTTTCCCTTAAATTCTTCTCCATGCTGTGATACCACTCAAGTTGAGCGCCACCAACAGTGGAGGAAGCAGACTGCTGGGACCCAGTGATTGACAGCCTCAAATGGCAGCGTGAGTGGGCGCGCACCCCCTACCCGGAAATGCAAAATCACGTGCATATATACACACATGATTTTGCACACCAGTGCCACCCTGTAGCAGTATTTCAGCTATAGCGCGGTCGGGAAGCAGTTAAAGGGAACACAAACAAAAAAAAAAACAACAGTTTTGTCTGTAGTTATACTTCAACTTCTACAGAATTTTGTCATAGAATTTAGCATGAATTGCCAAGGCTTCCAACTACAGTTCTCTACCCCTTTCTTACTCTCATTGGCCCTCATTCCTATAGGTGGTGATACACAGCATATTTGTGTGCTGCCTTGGGTGAACAGGTGAGAATTGGATTATGTAGGGCTTTTTCATAAGAGGAAATAACAAGTGTCACTTTCAGTACTTGTATTAGCTTCTTACAATACTCAGGTATTGTAACATCACTGGCTATTTCCACATTAATCTCCATTCTTTCTGGAAGCTCCCCTATTCACATATCTGTTCTACCTATTGTTAAAAATACCCTTATCCTAAAAGTAATCTGATTACCATCTAAAAAAAAAAAAATAGATTTTAGTTATCAGTAGATGAGTTCCATTATTATTTGGTCCATTTACATATACATCATGATGACCAGTTATTCTGTGCGACCAGCAAATGAAGGAGAGCCGTGGGGAAAGGTACATGGTAGTCAGAGGGTGGGCTTTAAACAGATACTCTAACTTTATACTAAATAGGTAAGGTCTCTAAGCCACTTGTCCCAACCTGATGCTTTTGCTGGATAGCTTGATCTGTTTGTAAATGTGAAAAAAAAAAAAAAAAAAAAAGAAGGACATGCCTTAATTACTGTAGTACAACATTTTTGCGATAGTGATCCTTGATCCCTTAACCCAGAAAGTACTGCAAGCAAAAAATGTCCACATCCAGCTGGTGGTTAGTAATTCAAGAACTTAAAATGTATGTCGGGTTAAAAGGCAGAATCTCTGAAGACACCATTCTAAACTGCCAAGCAACGTATGGGGGATTGAGACAGCTGTCATTTATCATAGCGTATACGTGGGAAGCAAGCAAGTAGTACAATATGGTGTTTTGAACGCTTAGAAATGAATCAACCATTTATTCACGTCTTAGAGCATGTAGTTTCAATTTGTATTTGGATCAAATTTTCAAACATACCTCTTCAACATAATCATGACCCACAGGCTGGACATCACTCTGAAGAGCAGCAAGGGTCTGAGCAGCTTCGGACATTGCATCCATCTTGGTTTCTGGTGATTGCACACTGGAACTAGGCGTAACCTTAAGACCGTCACTCATTTTGCTGTCTTCAATTTTATTCCCAGTGGACTGCAATTTATTACCACCTACAAAGGAGAGTTGAAAGTTGTTGAAAGCGACAGTAGCCAAAAATTGACCACAAGCGACACTAACTATAAATTGATGAGCTGAAAAAAGGCTTTTAAGCAGTGATAGATGGACTTTGTTCATGTAGTAGTGACTGACTTCTGCTAAAAGGCCTGCAGCTTAGTGTAGACATGCTAACAAAACTCTAGGCTGATAAAGCATTGATTTCATACCAGTACTGTTGTTGCCATAAAAGCTATTGCAGCAACATTACATTTTTTAAATCACAAGGAAAGACTACACAAAAACACATACCTGCTATTTATACTCCGACATTTTTTACTAAAATCGCCACCTAAATACATTTAAAGCAGCCTTCCACTCAAAAGTGGAAGCTTCGCTTATCTGCCTCCTCTCCTCCTCCACTGTTATATTTGGCACCTTTTGGGGGGAGCGGATACCAGTTTTTGAAATGTACCCGATCCCACTTCTGGCTCAGTTCACCAGGGGACGAACTGTTAGTGTTAGTGTAAATTTTGACGCTTTTAGCCATTTCTTTCTAACTGATCATGCTAATGTTCCATAAGCGTTAGATAAAAGATTTTTTTTCCCCCCTGACCAAGCCATTTTTTTTTCGACACGGCGCTGTGTTATTTTAACTGACAATTGTACGATCATGCAATGCTGTACATAAATTAAATTTATGTTTTCTCTCCCCACAAATAGAGCTTTCTTTCGGTGGTATTTGATCACCTCTGCATTTTTGCGCTATAAACAAAAAAGACCAACAATTTTGAAGAACAAAAAAAATTTGACTTATTGCTAGAAAACATCCTTAAAAAAACAACAAAAAAAACAAAAACAAAAAAACTTCATAAATCTTTGCTAAAAGGGAAAAAAAAAAAAAAAAAAGATATATATATATATATATATATATATATATATATATATATATATATATATATATATATATATATATATATATATATATATATATATATATAAAATTTAGTTATTTCAGGTACTTATATAGCGATGTCATATATGTAAAGTGCGGCATCCTTGAGGGTTAGGGACTGATGTGAATGTACAATATATGTAGGTATCCCAATACATATAAATTAAATTGGTTTACGTGTAAATTATAGTGTTTACAAATGGCGTTATATGTACACTGGAATTTTTTTAAATTTTCTTGCATACTAGTAATGGTGATCAGCGACTTCTAGCGGGACTGTGGCAGGCATTCTGACAGTGGGTGGGAACTGACTAACTGCCACTGACACCAATACAGTGATCAGCACTGACAGTACTAATGACACTGGTAGGAAGGAGTTAACATCTGGGGCAATCAAAGGGTTCACTGTGTGCTGTGTTTTACTAGGGAGACATGCTATTTTGTATCTCTCTGCTGTGCAGAGATACACAAAACAGCATGTCCATGCTGACAGGAGAAAGACCTGTGTTTACACACAGGTCTCTCCCTGTCCGCTGTCCCTGACCATCGCTGAGTGACAGCCAGGAATTGCCGGCCAGGACCCGGTGGCTGACATCTCTGGCCGCCAATTGCAGCGCAGATAGGGAGGCTTGTGTGCCCCCTACCCGGAGATGCAAATCATGTAAATACATGTGATTTCGTGCAGCCCTGCAGCAGTACTTCTGCTATAGGGTGGAGTTCAAGCGGTTGAAAATGTTGAGAAAAGGCTGTTCTGAGCTATTCAGTGCATATTATGCCACAAATAAATAAAAAAGCACTTGCCTACAAAAGTTATTTTTGGCGTGGTTATTTTCTTAACGATGTTGTTAGATGAGATGTTAGACATTTTGCTTGCGCTCATATTGCCAACAGATGAGCCGGATGTAGACGTGGGCAGTTTTGCAGCAGGTGTGGTGACAGAGGAGCTGCCGTTAGAGCTGGATGTACTGTTTGAGACAGCTGGCTTGGAGACAGCTGCAGAGGTGACAGACTGGTTCACGACATTTGGTTCTGTTGACGGAATGGGTTTGCCAAGTTTGGTGTGCAACTTCACAACCTGACGAAGGAAATAAAGTTAAATCTTACATCAAGCCCAAAAGTAATGTCAAAACATTTTTCTGTGCTCTATCTGCGGTGTACCTGTCATCCATAACACAAAATGACAATGTTTGGCACAGTCACAGTTTTGCATATTGACTCTAGTAATCAGGGTAGGATAATATGGATTGTTCATCACCACCACATTTTCATTACAGACTGTAAAGTAAAAGTAGAATCCAGCCCATAATTAGGTTATGTGCAGACAGGAACAGTTCCAGAACAGTTAAAATTAAACAGATCATGCTCTGTAGTTCTGGAGAAAGGTGTGTAGGATGAGGGTAGTAGGTAGATGCTGTGCTGGTTCTCTGAATAGGGAAAACTAGTTTGTGTGCCCACATGCTATCGATCAGCCATCCTGGTTTTCCCATGGATCACTGTAAGAGATCTAAATTCAGTACACCACTGTCAAACCTCTGCACATTATTCATACAAAAAAGGTGCAGCATTTGTTCCACCTCCATACTCAAAGTGGAACTTCATAGTAAAAGGGGAAGTTTTACTTTATGCCCTCCCGTTACTTTTCACAGGTAACTACTCCCACTTCCGTTCGGATCACTGTGGCGATTCCACCAAAAGTTCTCCGCCACACACCCTTCTCACTGCCCACAACCTTCTGGAACACATCATAGGTCCCAGAAAGTTGCAGAACCATTCCCAAAGTGCTGTGAAGCTGCAAGGAACCACAGCTGGCTTCCCACAGTAAACATGCCGGAACCTTGAAGGCCAGCAAAGAACGAGCCCAGATTTTCAAGCAGATGAGCCACCTGATGAGTCACTGCCCAACAGTCCACATTATAGTAAATGATTCAAGGCTGGCACACAACCTTTCTTCCGGAAAGATGTCAAATAGGAAGAAGGTTTTCCTTCCATCATGACAAATGACCCAAAGCACACACTAAATATGACCACACAGTGGTTGGAGGAGGAAAAGGTGAATGTCCATGCATTGCCTAGTCAGAGCCCAGACATAAACCCCATTAAAAATTTGCGGAATGACTTGAAGACTGCAGTTCAAAGACTGTCACCATCAAATTTAACTGAACCTGAGCAGTTCTGCAAAGAGCGGGAAAATATTGCAAAGTCTAGATGTGCAAAGTTGGTTAAGACATATCCCAAAGTATGTATGCATATATTCTCAGGAGATCATGACAGACTGCCAGTCTGCGCCACAATTTCAGCGCTCCAGTCTGTTTCTATTATAAAATTTTGCAAACAAGTATTTTTCTCCTTCACTGATGTGCATTGATGAGGCTGCGCTGATAAGCACTGATGAGGTGGCAGGGATAGGTGGCACTGACAATTGCCGGTTATCGGCAGTACTTTCCCCACGCTGTGACAGTGTGATTAAAGTGCAGTCGATAACCGGCAACTGTATTTACCTGGTGATCTGCTGTGTCATTGGACACAGCTGATCACGTGGTAAAAGGCCCATCACAGTGGCCTTCTACCACGTGATCAGCTGTGGGGGCGCGCGGGAGGGAACGTACTTGGAGGATGTCATGACACCCTCCCAGAACTGGACAACTGCGCTGTAGCCGTCATTCGGCTATAGCGCGGTTGCAAAGTGGTTAAAAGTGGATATAAAGGATAATAGAATTTAAAGTGGAACATCACTCTCATGCAACATGGACTATTTCTAATCGTTATGCTGCTAGCATTAGTAAATACTGTAGATAGGAAAAGCATATTTACTTGTTTTAACCTTTTTTTGCATTCTTACTTTTACTTCCTGGTTTCCATGCCTAGGCAAAAGACATCCCAAGAGTCTTCAGGAGGGGTTCTCAGCTCAGCCAATGCCTGAGCTAAGGACAGATGGATTCTAGTAACTGCTACAGGAATCATCCACCCTTACTCAAGATGACCAGTGCCAGAAATGTCAGGTGGTGTTTTTCAAAATGATTTTTCAGCAAAATAAAGCATGGAGACATGGATGGATATAGGCGTTTATTTGAATATTAAAAATTATTATATAGCATTTTTGGTTTGTGGTACTCATGTGAAGTGCAGTTCCATGTTAAGTTAAATTGTTGCTTCCCCCTCCTCATACCCACAATGCCAAAACTTTGTAAAAGTTCTGTGTCAATTTTTTTTTTTCTGTATCAGCTTTTGTGTGGTCATGTGATCTTTAAGAACTGGTTCCTGTTGGGAGCTTCCTCACCTGGGGACTAACATTCAGAACCTAAACTGTATTAGTTTTAAACTTCTGGTAAACTGCAATCAAAACAAAAAAACAAAAAAAAAACCCTGCAAGGTAAAGGCATATAGTGTTAGTATGCATTGCATACTAACACATTATGTAAAACTTGTCATAAAACAAAGCCCTCCATAGGCGCGGCGGCTTGAATGGCTGAGCCGCGATAACGTCACTCCCACGCATGTGCATGGGAGTATCGGGTTATAGCACAGAGCTCTGAAAGAACAGCACAAATATGCCATTCCACATGCACCACCTGTAAATAAACCGACCGATTATCTCCTAAATGGTGCACGTTTAGGAGATATTCATTTTACCTACATGTAAGCTTTCTTATAAGTTTACCTGTAGGTAAAAATGTACAAAGTGGCTTTACTATCACTTTAAAGTTCTAATGGCTGCAGCGTAGTATGATGTGGCCACCATACTCCAAAAAGAGTACTGCATAGCGATCTTTTTTCAGTGAAAATCACCGAAGCATTCTCTTGCATTGGGGAGTGCATCTGGTCTGAAAAGACGCAAAAAATTCAATCTCTCCGCAATGCTTATTGATAGAGATAAATGAGGGCTTGATTTAAAGCGCTTTCATTGTTTGTTACAGTCAAGTAAATACTTTAGTGTGCATGATCTGGGTACAGGTTCACTTTACAGTACAGACTACTTCGGAATGCTAGTGACTGTTGTGTAGAAAAGTGAAAGCAAAAGAAACTGGACTCTAATGCAACATATTTTTCTACATCAATTCATATAGCAAACGTGTTCCCCTTGTTCTGCAACTGCATGCAGAACTAGTGATCTAGTTTGCAGTCAACTGTTAAAAGCCATAACATTTTCTCTGTTGGGTAGTGAGTCAAGTTTAGAACTTCTATCAAATCTTTAATACTGTGTGTCTGGATTTCCCATTTACTTCATATGCAGTTACAGAGTGAAGCTGGTGTTCCACTTTAACATACAAGGGGGTCTTCAAAAAGTTTTTTTTTTTTTTTTTTTTTTTTTTTAAAACATGCAGAAACGTTTTGAAGAATTTTCGTACAACTTCAGTCAACTCAATCTTTATTCTGCTTTAATTACTTTATATTTAAAAAAAAAAAAAAAGTATTAAAAGCTGAACTCCCTTCCCATCAGTCTTGCACAGTTGTACCAGCTCCTCTCCTGTACTGAAATTGCTTAATCTAAGTTAACTGCACACTGGGAGCTTTTCTCAGTGAGCATTATCAGCACCAGCAGAACACATCTCATTTACTAGCTGAAGGGGGTCCAGCATCATGTAGTCTGTTCCTCCTCAGCCCAACAGTCCCTCGCCCGCATCATTCATTCATTGGATTGCAATCCTTTCCATCATGGAGTCTCAGCATCATATGTGGGTCTTAACTAGGGAGGTCTGTGAGCAGATGCAGTCTGTCTAGAACGTTCACTCCTCCAGACTGGCATCCACCCTTCAAGGCATTCTGCTATTTGTACAACTCCTCCTATGATCCCGCCCACTGCTTGGATCAGGGCTGAAGGTTCTTGAGGGGAGTACTGAAGTAGGGTGCAGTGATCTTTTCAGTTTTAAAGTCTTGCGATCCATGTACCCCTACCCGACTGACTATTTAGGCCTTTCCCTCACAGAGACCTGCTAAACTAAACTACATAGACTGGTTATTAGGTTTATACAAAGAATCAAGAAAAAAAACATACCTTTTGGTGTTTAGCACCCCTGATGTGGGCAGCATAGGCATCTGCCCCTGTGCAAGACACATCACAGAGCTCACAGCGGAGCTGGTTCTGGGTCCCACGGACTGCTGTACTGCTGCTGGTTGTGTTTTGAGAGGCTTTTTAAGGCTGCTTCTTTTTTCTTGTGCTTTTGGCCCTCTAAATGCTCCTTGTACGTCTGTGGTGACACACAAAAAGAGAAAAATTACGAACATAAAATTTTAACTCTGAAAAGAGGCAACGACAAACTTTGAGCACCTATTCAGATACAGTGGTCTGTTAACTTGCACTGGGTCACAAGTCAGTGCTCATTTTACTGAGAAAGCCCATTCATAACAAATGAGCTGCCAACACACCTCAACAGACCTAAAAGACACATCACCCTTTTAAATCAACACTGCAAACAAATGGTATGAGTTCATTGAGATGCCATCCACAGTGAATAGTATTGCAACATACTGCAGTTAAACAGATGCACTGACGTGTACTGCTTCAATGCAAACTCTACATTGGCCCTTAAAGTCCATCTGTAATGTGGAGAGTTTCAAAAAATTCTGTAACAGACTAAGAACGGTCACAAAACCATCATGTTATACTTTCATCTAAAAAAGCTATAGAAAAGACAGAAAACTATGTATACTGAATATAGCAAACTGGTTTAATAAAAAAAAAACAGTCAGAATTAGCTACATACAGACCCTCAAGCTCTTAGGCCCCCAGAAGCAAAACACACAGTTGAGATAACAGTGATCTTAACAAAACAGAAAAATGCACGGCATTTCATTGTGAGCAAACTGGAAATGGATGTCACGGTTTAGAACAGGAGCTGCAGGACACAACATACCATTCAGAAAAGTGCATTTCATTCATAAACAGCCAAAAGTAACATACTTTCTGCAAAGGTAGCCTAAGTGAAAATTATCAGTGTGCATTGCAAACATCAGCACTCACAGGAAAGAGATACTATCACAAGTCTGCTTTTTTTAAAGCCTACAGCCACTGACCTAGGATAGGAGAAACACCACTTACTAATGATATGCATTATCAGTCGGAGACAATCAAGAAGTGTACCTGAGGTCCAGCACAGCTAATCTTACAGACATCACAGTAGTGGATCTGAGGTGGTTTGGGAGGCTGTTTAGGCTTCAGTTGCTTATTCTGAAAAGCAGTTTTCTTAGTAAAGTTGGTCCCAGTCCAGGCGGCAGTGGCAGCCACCGCTGCGGCAGCTGCTGCCTGTTTTTGCTGTTGCTGCTGTTGTTGATAATAGGAAGAGGCAGCAGAGTACACTGCTGCTTCATAACCCGAGTATGTCGCACCTGAAGAAGAAAAGGGATAATGGTAAACATGCATCCTGATAATATGACGACACATTCACAAAGACAAGCTTAAAACAGAACTCTAGGAAATACTTTAGACCACCACAATGTAAATAAGTTATCTCCAATGAAGACTTGACAACTGTACAAATGTTAGTTCTACTCATGCTGAGTACTACACACAGCACTCTTCAGTGCTGCGAGAGAGTTCCGCCTCTCACACAGTAAAGGATCCTGTTGACCTGCCCCGTTCTCTCCTCCATTCACAAAACAGTTGTATTCTTTTTACAGAATGCAAGGTGTTCTATGAAAAGACAAAAAAGGGACGGTAAAAAGACAGGATCCTTTGCTGCATGAAAATGGTGTTACAGAGAAGGGTGCCGTGTAAAGTACTCAGCATAAGTGAAACTAAAATTTGTACAGTAAATCAGAGACCCACTTCAGAGGAAAAAGATTTGGGGGTACTTATTACAGATTTTTGAAAAATGAGCAAACAGTGTGGCCAGGCAGTGCGGAAAGCGAACAGAATTCTAGGATTCATCACTAGGAGGGTCACCAGCAGGATGAAGGAGGTCCTGAGTTTAAGTAAATCTGTGTCCTTAGCAGTGTAGTTCAGACAGGATATATCCAAATGCACTTCATGCACTTATATTAAAGAATATTCAATTTGCCCTAGAGTCTCATAAAATGTGGCCAGACTTCAAAAAGGGAATCCGAGTAGGAGTGCAGCCTCTTGCCACTTTTTTTTATTTTTTATTCAGGAGTCCGTATAATTACACTGTATAAAAGACAATGATGGGAAAAGTTGAAGTTTTCTTCTCTAAAGATTCACAGCCTTGATATTTGACCTTTTCAGAACACGAGATTGACAGCACCCAGAATTTACCTAGTACAATCCTTCATAAAAGGAAGCAAAGGCAAGAAAAAAAAAAAAAAAAAAAATACCTGAGCAGATAAACCATTTCCCTGCAGGTAGTCAACATGTAAATTGCAACCGAAATGTAAAGCAACCCTCTTAGAACACATACAGGTAACATACTACATAGCACTCTCTCACCTAGGCATTGCACTAATCCACTGTATTTCTCCTGACTAACCTACAAACTGCTTTAACATGTTTGAAATGTGAGAGAAGCATATCTCCTGACCCTTTACAATCTCTCACATACAGACAACTGTATATCAATACTGAAGTTGCTCATAAGCTGTAGTCTGAATCCAACCCGTCATGGAGGGCAGAATCTGACAAGTTAACAAACATAGGCTTCAGGAAACAGGCCACACAAACCTTGTATGTGGAGCATCAGGAAATGTGTGTCCACTACATTACAAAGACGTCAAATAGGCAGACAGGAGGTCTGTTCTACAAAAGCACAGTTGACAAATAAAAAAAGTCACCAATTGGTTCTATTTGTTACCTGGAATTTTCCTTTACTCTGCCAAGTAGATCAAACCATAAAAAGGGACCTATATGCAGGCTAGGCTTATTCCAATTATGAAAAAAGTAATCATTACTTGATCAACTGATCAAAAAAAAAAATAAACAACCCCCCCCCCCCCCCCCCCACAAAAACAAAACAAAAAACCACAAACGCATTCTCAAGCTAGCACTCCATAGAACATGCTGCAATGTGACTATATTAAAAAGGAACTTGTGTTTAATATGGGAACAGTCAGACTTGATTTTAAAGGTGCATGCTCCAGGGTTACCCTAAACCTGGGTTAATTACCTGGTGAATAACTGTAGGTGAGGGACAGGTTAGTGAATCAATAAGGAAGACCATCCCAGAGCATGCATCTGCAAAAATTTTCTATTCTATGCCAACTATGCTTTCACAATTAGTAAAGAACAAATTCATTTATTCTTAGCAACACTTCATACTTTTCTGATTAAAAATTTGAACCAAGTAGAATAAAAAAAAAAAAAAACACAGAAATTACCAGAGTAAGTAACAGCAGTTGTGCTGTAGGTGGCGCTCTGTGTGTACGAGGGAACCACAGTGGCAGCGGCAGCAACAGGTTGCACAGTGGAGGACACCGGGTATATGGAGAAGGTAGTTGTTGCTGGACTTGGGTTGGCAGGCTTGATGGCGGTCACTTGCCGAGTCTGTTGAGCTTGAGTGTACTGAGCAGCACCCTGGCTGTAGCCAGCCTTGGGGGCAACTGGAAGAGACAAGGCGAAAGGAGCTGGTACACAGGAGGAAGAAAAGATGTATTGCAGAAAACAATGTGATTTAGTTTTGGGTAATGTTTATAATTCTATAACTAAATTACTATACTTAGCATTAGCAGCTCCTTCTGGAGAACACGTCATGGCTTAAAAACTAAATATATAAAAGCACTCTTGTTCAGTTTAACCCCTTCACACCATCCGTATGCAAATATGCGGCCTCTCGGTGGCTGGGTCTTGACGCCGAGCGGACGCATATTTGCGTACCATTTGAAAATACACATGTGCTGAGAGTGCGCACTCCCAGCATGTTTGTGTATTATGGAAAGGTCCCGATCTTCCCTTGCGATTGGGACCTTTTCAGGATCATGTGACCACCGTGACAGCGAATCACAGCGGTCACATGACCCTAAAACCTGCCCCACGTCCTGGCATCTGAAACCCCTTAAAGGGCCAAGAGGCGTCAGCGTGAAGGTGTCAAACATTAACAGCGATATTTATAGCAGAGAGCAGATATCGATATCCAAACTGCACTGGATACTGCTGTATTACTCAACAATGAGCCAGGATGTTACGCCTATTCATAAATGTAGGTGATGGTATACAACCTGCAGTATCCCACAAGTTCTCTGAAATTAGATTTCATGATTTGTTTTTCTTTTCATTTACTGTGGTGCTTTATACATGAGGTTCAAGAGACATATTTAATAAAAAAGTGTAAGGTGCTGAATTGGAAGATGGTGACTGAGCATGGCACACCTTCCATAGGAAAGCAATAGATTAAATCACCTATATAGTGATTTGTCACCTAGAAATTGTCAAGTTTAAAAGCTAGGTGGGGCCCAGAAGCTCAAAATGTGGAAAAGCTGCATTGCTTATTGATGAATGGTATATCCAACTACGCAAAGGTGATTCAAACCCCAAAACCCCTTTTCTTAAAAACACAGCACAAGGCAAAAAAAAAAAAAAAACTCCAAAAAACAAAAAAAATTCTGAAAAGTGATCAGACTGATCATTCACTGCTTTGTCAAATCAACAAATCTAAAACACCATTTAAAAAATACAGACTTTCAGTGTGCAGCCTTAAGCCTCGGTTCACCCACACTGGTATGACTTCTCATGCGATTTGACAGTTCCAAATTGCATGACAAGTCATACCCCACTGCCGGCAATGTTACCGTTCATGTCGCAGTGATGAGAAAGATTCCTGCACTACTTTTTGACAATTTCATTGCGACTTGCATATACTTCTGTTATATGAAGTTGCAAGATGCAAACGGCAGTGCAATGTGCGCGATTTTAAATCCGCACCATTGTGAACCGGGGCTTAGTGTGCGATCATCATTTAGTGTATTTACAACTCCCCTCAATCTTCCCAACCCCCCACCCCCCTGCAGACAGTGCGGTGGCCAGTGTTTTTCCACACTGAAAGAATGCCAGCCACTGCTAGGACAAATGGAAAACAATTGTTTTCTATGCGTCCTAGTTACATTGCAACTCAGCCTAGAGCTGCGCTGCAATGATCTGCGATAAAATGCAGACATGATGTGCACTGCAAATTTAAAAAAAAAAAAAAAAGGAAGAAGGAGCTGAATTGCACACACCACCCCCCCTACTGCTGGCTCATTGTAGCTAAATGGACAGCTGCCACACACTAAACCACTGCAGCTTACTGTGTGACAGCTGTCTGTATATGAACGAGACCTTCTGTGACCTTAGGAATCACCAAGGGGTTTAATGACAGCACAGCATTTATTTTTCTAATAAAATTTGGATATTAAACAATGAAAATTAGTCCACCAATTACAAACAAAGCCAATCAAGACAATCCATTGTCAGGGGTGAAGCTATAGTATATATTTTTGAATAAATTAAGGCTATAAAAAAAGGACTGTCAATGTACTAAAACAGGCTGCTGGAGTACAATGAAGGCAACAAGCAGTGCCCGCATGTGCCCTTAGGTGACCCCCTAAAGATCCCTGAAATCATTGTCACGTGCTTGTTTCAGTGCCTCATAACTTCATAGGCTGGCCTACCCCTACTGGTCCTAAAGGCCAAAAGGAAGATATGAAAGGAGGTGTTGGGCTAGATTTCCATCCTAGAGAGAAAGGTATAGGGATGTGAAGGCACTGTTTGATGTCAGCACTGTGCTGCAACAGCCTGTTCAGTAATCGACTAGTTATGCTAGATCTGCTTTACGGATATTTTCATGAAGTGGAACAAATGTATCGCATCAAAAAAAATGACAGGATTACCATAATTTAATGCTGAAACATCAATAATTATAAGACACCTACCTGTCTGATAGTAGGATTCAGCCACAGACGGCTGAGGCTGCGCAGCTGCCGCTACAGCTGCTGCAGTTGCAGTTGGCTGCTGGTAGTAAGTCTTGTTGTCATATGTTACAGCAGGAGCTGTGGACCTGACATAGGAGTACGAGTCCTGGTAAAAGTATTAGCAAAGTTACCAACTCTAAGAACTACAGCACTAATAGAAGCACAAGCCTAACAAATACAAACACTAAATTGGATACAACATTTGCAAAATACAAAAAAAAAAAAAAAAAGACAATCCTCTTAGTCTCCCCAACCCTAGATTCACACCTAAACGGTTTCTGCCGCTTTTTGCGGAAACGAACTACAGTCCATTTAACATGATTTCTTATGGGACATGTTCACATCTGTGCGTTTTCTGGAAAGGATCAGGGACTTTAAAAACACAAAAAGTTGCGTTTTTGGTTCTATATTATTATTATACAGTATTTATAAAGCGCCAATAGTTCGCTCAGCGCTGTACATTACAAAGGGGGACAGAACATGTGACAGAACAATAACAATACAATACAAAACATGAGGGGATCGAGGGCCCTGCTCTTTCGAGCTTACAGACCTATAGTATCTGCCTAGCAACAAGAAAATAAAAAACCCCCGAAAAAAACAAAAAAAAAAAGCAAAAACGAAAAACAGAAATGGCTCAAAATGCAAGCTGCATAGGTGTGAACCTAGACTTAAGGCTACTGTAGAACAGGAGAGGGCCACATTTTGCAGATTGACCTTGGTGTTGCAGTGTGTCTATCTCTATCTGCAAATGTATGCAACAAAGTCTCCTCATTTTTAATGTAGAATTACTTTATATCATTTTATTTTGCGACTACCTAGACTAAATGTTTTTTTACTGTTCAGAGAGCAAAAAACAAACCCCTCAGTTTTCTGACAAAGAACATATGTTGCAAAGAATTAAACTAAACTCAAATTAAACAGGAAGCCACATTTAACATATTACATTGAAGGTTTTATTCCTGTTTTAAGGGGGCACACCAAGATTAGATTAGAATACAGTAACAATTAAACATTGTATTTTCCAGAGAATATGTATTTCTGAAAGCTGTCCACTAAAAATGGTTGCAAGTTATATCTCTGATAAAAAAACAAAAAGGAAATCAAATAAAATCTTGCAGAAGTTACCTGGTAATTCTGGGTTGTGACTGGAGGTGGTGGCGGAGGGGCTTCCTGCTGTCGTTGAGTGTAGCCGTAATCTGTTGCGGTGTGAGCTGCTGGATAACCCCCATAAGCTGCTGCGGACGCAGCAGCTGCCACAGCAACGGGAGCAGGCCGAGCTACGGCAACTGTGGCTGCTGCTGGAGCGTAGGCTGCTGTCACAGTGTGAGCCGCCACTGGAGCCTGATGAACAGTATAGCTACCCACAGTGGTTGGATGAGAATAGGCTACTCCAGATGCTGGTTGCTGGCTGAAAGTAAAATAGGTGGAAATAAAAAAATTCAAAGTTAGGCATTGATCTTATGCTGACCATGTGCTGTGAGCAAACAAGCTACCTTACTAGTCAAGGTATATCTCTCAACTAAAGAAAAAAGTAAATATTTTAACTAGTTGCAAGAAACACTTCAACAATTAATTTTCCCTAAAGGTGGGGGCCTCCCAATAAAGAAAATATGTACTACTGCACTTTTCACCTAGTCCCCCACAAAGTCCTACAATTACCCATTGAAACCTGCAAGTATCACCATAGGCAGCTTCCTGAAAGGGTGGCAACAATACTGCACAACTGAATTCAGAGAAGAGTTGCCACTCATGTAGACCAAGATATTGTAGGGGGGTGTGGCTATCAGCATTGTCATGGCCGATTCAGTCATTTTCTCAAACTGCACCCAGACACACCTAGCCTCGCCCTTTGCTTTCTGGATTGGCATTACTACCTCTGTTGCCCATACCCACCAATGTAAACTGCAGTGTCTGGGAGGGGGGAGTGCAAGAGACTAACCAAAGAGGATTTAGCTCAGTCATGGAAGGAAAAGAAAGTTTTGGTGTACTTTCTGCGGCTTATGCATCACATAGTAACTGCATTTGGTACATGTTAAGCAGCATTCTTTAAATACTTTAATTTCTTTGCCCTTGTTGGCTAAACTTTTCTGCATGATGGGAAAATTATTTCAGTGTTTTAAAACATCAACTATGGGGGTACACAGCTCATTATTTATGGGGTCTGTATGCTTGTCATCAATTATGATGAACAGTCTAATATGTAGAACTCAAGACACTAAAAAACAAGTCATAGTAACGGATGTTATCGCTGGTTTCTCCTCCTTGAAGTACAAGCTGCCTGGCAGTCTGGTTGACCCGATTGCTTTAGTACTTTGAGTGAGATCTGAGCAAGTACATAAATAAGAACGTCTAAGCTCCTAATCTGTGCACTTGCTCTTGTACAATGACTCAAAGTACTGTAGACCTCGGATCTGCATAAAAGAATTTTCAGCATGTCAGCAGTCACCATACTTTTCTTCTGACAGGTTTACCTTAAAGTGGAACTACACGGTGTCTGACCACCACAACCCAAAAGCGATATTTATTTTTAATATTCAAAGCAATCTCACCCATCCATCCAAGTCTACATTATTTATTTTGCTGAAAAATCACTTTGAAAAACACCAGTTAGCTTTTCTGGCCGTGGCCATCTTAGGTAAGGGCAGATAATTCATGTAGCATTTACTTCCTGGAATCCGTCTACCCGTAGCTCAGGCATGCAAACAGGAGGGGGGTGTGCTTAGCTGAAAAAACCCTTCTCCCCTCCTGAAGACTCCTGGGATGTATGACATCATTTGCTTAGGCTTGGAAACTAGGAAGTAACTAAATATAAAAAACAGTTTAAAACAAGTAAATATAAAATACTTTCATATCTATTTACATATGCTAGCAGCATAAAGATTCAAAATGGTCATTGCTGATTGCAAGAGTGAAGTTCCGATTTAAGATGTGTATATCGGGGCATCACTAAATGGCGGACCCCGGGTCACGTGCCAACTGACACGGTCCCATCAATTAGGAGCCTGTTGTGCCCTGCAGCCGTCACTGCTGTTTATCCTAGTAGCCCACAGTGGAAGTAAGGACCGTTCGGGAGGGAGGGTTTTATCCCCAAGTTATCAGGAAGCTGACTGGTTGCCAGGTCGGTCCTAGCAACCAATCACCAGCCGCTCCTGCCCTCTGTCCAGGCTTGCTGTGCCTCCCGCTCTCCTGTGTAATGTAGGATGGGCTGCTTGAGACATTACGGTCTTCGACCCCCATTAATGTGAGGGGGGAGGGGGGCCACCAAGGACAGTAATGTGAAGAGGGATTTTGATGTGGAGGGGAGGGAACTCTGATGTAAAGGAGGGACTGTGATATGAGACTCAGATCTGTATGTGCACAACATGTCGCAGGAAAAAGGCCGGGAAGAAGTCCCCAACCTTTTTTTTCCCCCCCTTTTTCTTACTGCGCTGCACCAAGCCGTGTGAAAATGTGCCATAGGTGGCAATGTGTGGGGAAGCTTTTAAGAATTAATGGCACCCCCACACAACTGATATAGCGCAGTGCATTTCTCTGCAGGTTGGGAACAAGTTCAATTTCACGCAAGTTCTCCAGACACAGTGATGTGAACCTAAGAGGGGCAGCGGGTTGACATGTGAAGGATCGGAGTCATGGCTCAAACACGCGACCCGGACCTATGCTGGAATATTATTTTACTGACTGCACTTCCATGAACTTTAATTTAGTACCCCGGTGTATATGGTAACTACTCAACCAATGTAATGCACTCATAGCAGTCGATTATTGTGTATTAATTCAGCTGCCCCTACCCTCAATTCTACTGATCATGCAGATCTCTGACTTTTTTTTTTTTTTTTTGCTCCGTTTCAATTGTCCAAATTTGTGCATTGCTTACTTTACACAGGGCAGACAATAATTCTGGGTGCCTGGTTGTGGTAATCCATTTATTTGCTTACTGGCAGACCTCCAAAGTATGCAAACTGTGACAAGGTTGTAAATGGATTAGGTTTCACACTAAACGAGCCTAGTCTCATTAGGAACCATAGAAAGGTTGCTTTAGATTTGATCTGCTAATATTAACCTTCACATTAGATGTAGACAGAATTGTACGCAAGTTTGATTGACAAGGTGGCAGTGGAATGATTTATATGTTGTAAAGCCAATGCACAGTCTAGAGAAAAAAAAAACCATAACAAGAAGGAAGGAAGGAAAAAAAAAAAAAAAAAAAAAAAAAAAAAACCAACAACCCCCCCCCAACATCCACACATATACACACTGCTCCTTTCAGTAATAAGGCCGGGACAAGTAACATGATGGACATGGTGGTAATCGAATAGGGAAATCGAGAGCACATCAGGTTTCCTCTTGTCTCAAGAGTTCTTGGAAACCCATGGAAAGTAAATTCTCTTATGTCCTATTGCCTACAAAACACTCACCATTTCCATTCAAAGTAGCTATTACATGGAAAGGTTCTTACATTTCAGCTATAAAAACGTTACATTATTTTTTTAAAGCGGTATTAACCAGTTTACAGCCTTTTTTTTTTTTTTTTTTTTTTACATTTTTTGTGGTAGGATCATGAAATATTTAAAAGCAGAACATCACTCTCTCAAGCAACATTTACTATTGTTATTCCTTATGCTGCTAGCATTAGTGAATGGATAAGAAAGTGCATCATAATTACTTGTTATAAAGATTTTTGTATACATTTATGCAGTTACTTCCTGATTTCTGACCTAGGCAATTGATGTCATTCCAGGAGTCTTGAGAATGGGAGGAATTTTCTCAGCCAAACACACCCTCCTGCCTGCATGCCTGGCCTAAGGGCAGATGGATTCCTAAATGCTACAGGAACTATCTGCCCTTACTCAAGATGCCATGGCCAGAAATGCTAGAGGAGTGTTTTTCAAAGTCATTTCTCTAAAATAAAGCATGGAGACATGGATAGATAGGGGAGTTTGCGTTGATTAAAAAGAATGAAAAGGATAAGTACACCTTTTGTAAAATGTTACACATATTCACGGTGTAACAATGTAACATGTTATAATCAGACTGCTGTGGTAGATCATTTATTCTTCCTGTCAGTATATCTGCATGGCACCAGCGATCTGCTTTTCGCTGGTGCAATGCTTTACAGGCTCCAGAAGACAAAAATAAATGCACTTTTTTTTTATGTGCATTTATTATTTTTTTTTTTACTAAAAAAGGTGAACTTGTCCTTTAACCACATCCTGACCGCCCTATAGCAGATATACTGCTACAGGGACAGAAGAGGTGCACAAAATCACTTATATATACACATGATTTTGTGTTTCCGGGTAGGGGGCACGAGCAGAGCGCGAGCACCCTACCCGCCTGTCCCGGCCGGTGATTACCGAGGATCTCTGACGGGGAGGAGGGCTGCTTTGTTTACCAACAGTCCTCCTCCGTCGGCTCGAGCACACTGTTCTGGATGGCTGTGCACAGCATAGCCACCCAGAGCAGTGTGCTCACAGTGAAGCACCAACACACACCGCCCCCCAGGAAAACAAACCCAGCACAGTTAACCCTTTGATCGCCCCTCATGTTAACCCCTTCCTGCCCAGTGCCATTAGTACAGCGTCAGTGCTTTTTTTTTTTTTTTTGCACTGATCACTGTTGGTGTCACTGGATGTCAGTGACCAGGTCAGTTCCCCCCAGTGTCAGAACGCCCACATCAGTCCCGCTATAAGTCGCTGATCGCCGCCATTACTAGTAAAAAATAAATAAATTCCAGTATATATACCGCCATTTGTAAACGCTATAACTTTCACGTAAACCAATTTACACGTATTGAGATTTTTCTTTTTTTCTTTTCCTCAGAAGGGCAAGTGGTTAAACATCGCTTTTAGTTTGTGGTGCTCAGATACAGAGTAGTTTTTTTAATGTTGTACTAAGGCTCCAATGTCCATGGTATGCTGTTCCAAGAGTGATTAAATTTTTATATTTTTGACATGAACTAAAACAACTACTATAATGCATTGGACCATCACTAAATAATGTATGCTACTGCGAACATATTTTAGCATGCAGAATAGTGTGAATAAGCCTTTTAGTCTTCACACCAATCCCTGTACCACCCCTTTGTTCCTAAACCCAAGTTGTACATGGAAATTCTGCTTATGCTAAACCTTACATGAAGCCTAGCCAACTGCTAGTGCCAAGCCTCTTCTCATCTTTATTTGCCTCTACTGTCCTGTTTTTAAAGTTTTGAGTCTAAAGAAGTGCATATTTGGCAAAGCTTTGCCATATAGCCTTCATCCTACATGACCTTAGAGAGGGGCTCCCTCAACTATGAACATAACTCTTCTGACTAACTAGGCAGGCAAACTGTGCAAATGCCGCCACCCCCCCCCCCCTTTCTGCTTCACACTGTCTGCATGTAAGCACAGTCTGGCCATATCCTGTCCTGCAAAGTAATGTATGGGCTGAGAAGCGAAGGTCACAATCACATTGCTCAGGACCACACTCTATGGCAATGCTTATTTTAGCAAACTTGTTCCCCTTGTTTCATGCTGTGCTAGTAATCTTGGTTGCAACTAGGACTACAATTTTCGCATACAGAGGCTACAACACATACCATGCAAACATTTATTACCTGTACTGAGCGGCAGCACCATGAGTAAAGCCAAAGTAGTTGCCAGTAGCCATTTTGGCCTCTTCACCAAGCCGGCTGGGCACTGAAAGAAAAACAAGAAATTAGATCAAAAGAAAAAATTAGGGAGGACTGACTGTTCATGGAGAACTTTTCATTTTTAAGTTTTTACAATGTTTCAAGAAATATTTTTTAGAAGCCCAGTTTGTCTTAGAAATGGAAAAGATACTAAACTATTTAATCATGCCTTGACTATACAATCAAAGCCTTTAACGCCTAATTCCGTGTTTAATATCTCTGGCCAAGCTGGCCCAAACAAACTACTTACTACACTAACTGGTGCATTGCATCAACTATGTATTCAGCACTTTGTTCAGGTAGTGGAATGAGAACTTCCTGTCTCATTTCCAGAACAAAACAGAACAACAACCAGGTGAAGATGGAAGCCATGTTAGTGTCTTCCTATGTGATGCATACTAGCACATTATGCTGCCATTGTCTTGCATTTTTTTTTTAAAAGGTCTCGGTTAACTACCGCTAAAGTTTTCTTTAGGCTTTCTTCTATTTTCACCAGGATGATATGATCAGAATGAATCAGCTTACATGGATGAGACAAAACTGAACATTGACAGGGTGGTTAAAATTATCAAATTTTATTTATCCGTGTAAAACCATTATCCCAAAAGGCAAAAAAACATTTGCAGTAACTGATTATAAAGTGTGTGGTAAAGTTTGGTTTCAGTTAATTACAGTTTTTAAATCCGTGAGTACACTTAACACCCTCCCCACTGATAATGATGCTGTCTGATGTGTCCCCTGTGCTCCATACAGAGTGGTGTCTCACTAATACAGGAGAGGTTACTGGCCAGATCATCAGATGAAACCGGAGGGGAAAAAAAGTAAAGAAAAGTGATGCAGCCACCACAAATAAAATAATTGGTAAGCTGCAACAGCTTTAACATGACATTCATATTTTATAATAAAAGCAACAATGTGTAAAAGCACAAGGAAAAAAAAAAAAAAAAAAAAAAAAAAAACACCGAAGACACCATAGAATACCCCAAGAAACTGAAAGAATCTCACACAGATCTGGTCACATCAAAAAATAGAGCACATCCAAATTTGGCAGCTGATGTTATGTGCAGAACCCTGGCCTTTCCCAGTAAACTCCACACTAGGCTAAACTTGTTTTGGAGAACAAGAGAGGGATAGAATAGAGCCTTTGCCATGTTTTGGAGGGTTTCCTTATTTCCTGTGAGGACAGGAAGTGATGGGAAGTCTAACTGGGGACACAAGTACATCTTCAGTGAGGGAGTGAGAAAGGTTCAGAACATGTGACAATGTTATCCTGTCTTTGTCTTCCCATTTGTACAGGAATCACAGGGATAAGTGACTAACAACCCAAAAAAAAAAAAAATTCTCTCTCTCTCTCTCAAAGTATTGGGCCACCATGAAGTTCTCTACGCACTGTTGCTGTGCTAATCTGAAGGCCACATGCAGTTTGGAGATCTTTAGCTATTGAAGTCGGTGACTCCTGCACACTGTGCGCTCCGGCAAGCACTGACCCCGCTCTATCATTATGCGTGGCCTAGTTGCTGTTGCTCCCAGTTGTTTCCACTTTATTATAATACCACTAACAGTTGGCCGTGGAATATTTAGTAGTAAGGAAATTTCACAGATGGACTTATTGTACAGGTGGCAACCTATCACGGGACCACACTTGGAGTCACTGAGCTCCTGAGAGAGACACATTCTTTCACAAATGTTTGTAGAAGCAGTCTGCATGCCTAGGGGCTTGATTTTATACACCTTTGGCCATGGAGGGGAATGGAACACCTGACGTCAATTATTTGGAAGGTGTCCCAATACTTTTGACAGTATAGTGGTTGTGTGAAAAAAAAATAAAAAATAATAAAATTATATACTATACAATAATATATAATATAATTTTTTTTGTGTGTGTATTGTGTGTGGGTGTGTTGAGCCAAGCCATTTACTGACGGGGTGCCTACAATGGTCAGCTTCATCTCAAAAAAGAAAAAAAAAAAAAACTGCACTGTTCTGCATCCTAGTAACATCCTCTTTACTCCAGAAGCTCATATTTTCCCCCTACATTCTATTTGTGCCTGTGAGGTCATGTACAATTCTCTATGAGCACTACAAATTGTATACTACATTCCTACATACAGTGGGACCATGGAGAACGAACATATCTACATTCTAACAGGAAGTCAGGTCACAGCAACAAGAAAAAAAATAAAAAAAAAAATAAAAAAGGGAATCTGAAAATTTTGGTGGAGGTTGAGATCTATAGATACCTGAATTGTTTTTAAATCTGTTTAGTGTAATTTTAAAAACAGCTGAAATTGCCTGAATGGCCAAATAGGAAAACTTGAATGGTTGCAACATAAAACAGAAGTATATAAATACTTGGCAACTAAAGTAACCCATTTATTATGCAATTCGATTTCCTTCCTCCATGAGTGGAAGGAAAGAAAAAATTACTTGATTGTGTTGATGGGGGAATCCCTCCTGCAGCACTATTGTTTTCTACCGGTGGAGAGCCTTCCCTGCCGCCAGAATACAAGGAACCCTGCTAGTGACTATAGTCACTGTCAGTGATCACACAAAAAAGAATTAGGCTGGTTGTACTGAAGTTGATCTATGGATCGACTTCAGATCAATCAGCCTCCCCATAGATGTGTTGAATCTCTGCTAGTTCAGCAGGGACTGGCTGGGATTCGATCACTCTATTGCTGGCTTAAAGGATCAGGATAAGTTCACAAAAAAAAAGAAAAAAAAAAAAAAAAAAAAAAAGGAGAAGTCGGAGAAGAGGTAGAAGAAGGAGAAGGAGGAGGAGGAAGAAGGAGGAGGAAGAAGGAGGACAGAAGAAGGAGGAAGAAGAAGGGAGAAGGAGGAGGAGGAGGAGGAGGAGGAGGAAGAAGGAGAAGGAGGAGAAGGAGAAGGAGGAGAAGGAGGAGGGAGGAGGAGGAGGAGGAAGAAGGAGGAGGAGGAAGAGGAGGAGGAGGAAGAGGGAGGAGGAAGAAGAAGGAGGAAGAAGAAGGAGGAAGAAGAAGGAAGGAGGAAGAAGGAAGGAGGAAGAAGAGGAGGAAGGAAGGAGGAGGAGGAGGAAGGAGGAAGGAGGAGGAGGAGGGAGGAAGGAGGAGGAAGAAGAGGAGGAAGGAGAAAAGGAGGAGGAGGAGGAGGAGGAGGAAAGGAAGGAAGGAAGGAGGAGGAGGAGAGGAGGAGGATGAGGAGGATGAGGAGGAGAGAAGGAGGAGAAGGAGGAGGAGAGAAAAAGGAGAAGGAGGAGGAGGAGAAAAAGGAGGAGAAGAAGCAGAAGAAGATTTATATGTCCCATTTTTTTGCTGGTGAAAAAGTGCGTTTACTTTTTGTTTTGTTGGAGTCTGGAAAACATTGCACCAGCGATCAGAAGTAGTAGTAATGGGGAAAGAAAAAAAAAAAAAAAAAAAAAAAAAATCGGGCAGCATCTGCATTGGTGGGAAAAGTGAACTAATCCTTCAGTCACACCATTGCGATTTAAAATTTGTGTACAAATTTAGCAAGATGTCAGGTGTGATTTCTGAAGACTTTTTTTTACTACTTGAAGATTTTCAAAGACTTCTTGCAATTTGCAGTGCAATTTCCATTATGTTATATATGCGAAAATCACAACAAAACTGCAGAAAAAGTAACACAAGCACTTTTGAAATCAAGCTGCAGCAAATCGAACATGTCAAGATACTGACATTCACATTTATTAGGTGAAATTTCAATTCGCACCAATATGATCGGGAGATTAAGGCTAGCCATACACGGTTAAGATCTCTCTTATTAAGCCCATCATCTGAAAGAGAAAAATCAACTCTTCCCCCCCCCCCCCCCAATCCAAGCTAGTCAGCATGGAGACTATTTAGACAGCCGCAGCTCCAATGCCTGCTAGAATGAAGAGATGCTGGCAGATGAACTCAATGCACTCACTCTTTGGTCGATAATTCTTCCACCTGACCTGGGGTGGTACCACTCAAGCGTTAACCGATTGAAGAGGAATCAGCTGAAATTCAACCTGTGTAGGGCTAGCTTAGTCATAACTCTCACATACACTGAGGGGATTTACTAAAACTGTACAGTGCAAAATCTGGTGCATCTCTGCATAGAAACCAATCAGCTTCCAGGTTTTTTTTTTTGTCTCGTCAAAGCCTAATTGAACAAGCTGAAGTCAGAAGCTGATTGGCTACCATGCACAGCTGCACCAGATTTTGCACTCTTCAGTTTTGGTAAATCAACCCGACTGTTACATTGTCACTGGAGTTTAATAGCCTCTGTGAGCAGCACCATCTTTGGTATATAGTTAAAACAAGCACAGGAAAAATACAGAATGATAGGGACACAGACAGCAAAAAAAACAAAACCCTGACAGGTGTGCTAATCAGCACCCAATCCAATAATAAAAAAAGGAACACACAAGGACATGGGGTTGTATTAATAATACCATAGGTAGCCTGCATATAACCCATGATTTATTAATGTAAGCCCTGTACTGTATGAAAAAGTTAAGATGTGTCCTGACATACAATGTTCACTAACATATTCAGCATCATGAAAAAGAAAATCTGTCGCCAAGAGATGATCCTTGGACATGCAGCAATTCACCAATTAGTTTAATCAACACGTCTCAGCTGAGGCTGAATAACTGCCAGCAGTGTCAAGTTCCCAACTCCACACAGCTTTCTGACAGAGGCAGATATTTAATTTGGACAGATCAGTACTAGACAGATTAACCCCTTCCAGACGAGAAGGGATTAAAGGCCAAGTTCATCTTTGGGGAAAAAATGCAGTTTTTAAAATCTATTTTTCCATAGAGGAGCCTGTAATGTCAGGCTCCTTCAGACATGTCCTCCAGCTTTCTGTCCATACTTATGTATGGGCTTTCAGTTAGAAAGCAGGAGAAGTATCAATAGTCAGTGCACTTGTAGTCCGTCGAGAACTTAAAACCATCAGTCGCACTGACCAATGGGATGTGTAGTTTCATCATTCACAGATCCCTGTGAATGAGTGACACAGCTATGTGGGGAGGACCTTAGA